CCAAAAGCGGATGCAAAGGCCATTCCTGACCCGTCAAAGAGTTGGCGGAAATCGTATACGGCTGCAGATGGCTGCAGGGCTGCCATCAAGTCACCGCCTGTGCACAAGCTGTCCCAGAACTGCTCTGCTGGCAGTTTTGCAGGCACGCGACCAATCAATCGAAAGCCCGCAGAAACTCCCAATCGTACCGGCCGGTCTGTGAAACCGCGCAGGCATTTGCTGTTTCGGCGCACTCCTCTCCGAGCACAGCCGAGAGAGGGACAGGAAAAGAAAGAACTGCCAGCCTGGCAACCCCAGGGCTGCAGGGCAGGAGGAGATCCGCCTCAAACTCCCGGTTGAATACAAACAAGGCATAGTTCTGGCATAAGGAGTGAAGATCAGATGGGAAAAAAGTCGCATGTTGCAGCAGGTCGTCACCCTAGTTGAAAAGTTGCATTTCAAGGAAGCCTTGCTGAGGTCACCTCAACATCGGCAATCGGCAAAACGGGAAGGTGTCTTCATAGAGACGTTGCCATTGAAGTGGCCTCCCACTTCAGAAGCCATGCAAGGATTGCTGAGAAGCCTTCGGCTTTGCCAAAGTCTCTAGAATCTCGGATCTCATTCTTAGCGCTCCTCAGCGCTCCTCTTCCTCCTGTGAGCAACTTGGAGGTTCATGGGTAGTTATAAGTGGGGTTATACGTCCCCTAACATGGGCTATAGCTTTAGTTATCCTACTCATAACCCTACTTATAACTACCCATGAACCTCCAAGTATCGGCCTAGACTCCCCAACTACCCTCTATCATACCCCAAACACCCACAACTAAGGACCACAACGGCCTCATTAAAGGGCAAGTCTCTTGCCGTTGGTTAGTAGGGAATGGAAGAATGAGGTACAATTACAACTACTACTACTACTACTACTACTACTACCATAACTGCCATTCTTCCATTCCCGACTAACCAACGGCAAGGTCTTGACTCCAGGCCGTGCTCTTCATGCCCGGCTCCCGGCTCTCCTCGGATCCTTCAGGAGACCTTGACAGGCTTCGGTTAAATGACTCAATCCTGTGGCCACGATAGTGTAGACATATAAATGTAGATATAAATATAAATATGAATATGAATATGAGCATGAACATATGAATATGAATGTGAATATATATATATATGTATATATATATATATATATATGCTCACCCCCCCCCCATGACAGACCGTCGTGGGGAAGGGGAAGGGTGGCGTGCGTCCCCAGGCAGGATCTGTCAACGGATAGGCGACAGACACTTCTCCCAAACTCAATTCCAAAATGTTCTTTTAGATGGTTTGCAATTTTTGGAAATTTCTTCACACGCATGCAGCGCTCCTAGTCCCAATCTTAATCTCAATTCTGCTCTTCGTACCACTATTACTGTTTGTAGATCTTAATTCTTGTATCAGTGTTAGCATTAGTATTAGTTTTGTGGTAGTATTGATATTAGGATGTTTAGTATGCGTAATCGTATTCGAATTAGTATTACTCTTAGTATTAGCATTAAGTATGTGTATTGATGTTAATAGTAGTAGTCGTCGTACTAGCAATAGTTGACGCACAGCAGTAGTAGTGGTAGCATTAGTATTGGTATTGGTATTAGTATTAGAATGAGTATTAGTATTAGTATTAGTGACTAGTATGAGTATCAGTATTAGTTTTAGTATTAAGTATGTGTACTAGTAGTAGTAGTAGTAGTAGTAGTAGTAGTCGTAGTAGTAGCAGTAGTAGTAGCAGCAGTAGTGGTGACATTAGTATTGGTATGAGTATGAGTATTAGAATTAGTAGCTAGTATTAGTACTAGTATTAGTGTTAGGATTAATATGTATTGTTCTTGGTTCTATTCTTAGTACTGCTGTCATTGTTTGTAGTAGTCCTAATCCTGGTATCAGTGTTCATATGAGTAATAGTTTTGTGGTAGTATTGATATTAGGATGGGTATTGCTTTAGTACTAGTATTGGTATTGGTATTTAGTATTAGTATTAGCATCAGTATTAGTATTAGTATTGAATAAAAGTATACATATCAATAATAGTAAATATGAACTCGTGATTATGTTCGTGCTGGTGTTAGTGCCAGTGTCGATGTCAATGTCAGTAATAGTACTCGTGTTAGTATTAGTATCAGTCTGAATGCTGGTTTTAGTATCTGTTTATTATTCACAGAAGTGCTGGTATTAGTATCAGTAATAGAAATAGTTTTGATATGTGAATATACTGATTGATTCGTACATTTTGAGCTTAATATAATAATACAGTAATGTATTCGAACAATAGTATATTTGCAGAGTTGAAGATTGCGCGAATATATTAGTACGTTGGTGCATGAGTACATTAGTATATTGGTGTATCATGATATTCGTATGTTAACGTAGTAGTATATTAGTATATTATTATAGTGGTCTATTACTATTCGTATTTTCCCTAATAGCTTATAGGTATATCAATATGTTGGCATAATGGCATGTGAACATGTCAGTGTACTTGCCTTTTACAGTATTCGTATATTAGTACACTAGCATATTTAGTGATAATTAGTGTTAATGCCAGTGCCAATGTCGATGTCAGTTTTAATCAGTCTTAATGATGAATTTAACATCAGTGTAATATTCGCGGACGTGCTAGTATGCGTATCAATACTATAATTAGTTTTGATATATTAGTATACTGATAGATTATATAAACAGCTTAGTATACCAACACATTATAATGTATTCGAACAGTAATATGTTTGTATACCTGCATGTTTGTATGCTCTTAGTATATTAATGCATGCGTACGTTCGTGCATGAGTACATTAGTATATTGGTGTGCTATTATCTTCGATTATTAACATATTAGTGTATGAGTATCCTGGTATGCTACTTCATTTATCATATTCGTATATTATCTAACAACTTTTTTGGTATATCCATATGTTAGTATACCATTGCCATGTGTCAGTGTACTTGCATATTACAGTATTCGTGTCTTAGCAAGTTAGCATATCAATACAGTATAATCAGACGTTAACAAGTAGTATATTGTCACGTTGGAAACTGGGTATATGACAAATTAAATACGAATATACTACGTTAGTACACGAATGCATTGATATATTTGCTTTTCAGATAGTGGTATGTATATCTGCGGACATTAATATACGCAGGTGTCTGTTAGTATTGGCATTAATATCAATATGAATATGACTATTGGTAGGCGTAGGAGTATTAATGTTAATAATAGAATTAGTAATGTGCATATTCGAAATGAAAGCATTAATATACATGTCAACGTTAGTGTTAAAAGCACTACACAGTAATCTTACTTGAGTCATATATAGAGCAGATTCCAGCATTTCCAAAATTTCCAAAATTCTCTCCCCTAACTTTCCGGATTTCCAAAATTTCCAAAATTTCCAAAATTTCCAAAATTTCCAAACTTTCCAAAATTTCCAAAATTTCCACCAAAATTTTCAAAAAGTCCGCCCTTATGTTTTGGAAAAATCCTGTCGACTAGGTCGGGAAATTTTGGAAATTTTGGAAATTTTGGAAATTTTGGAAATTTTGGAAATTTTGGAAATTTTGGAAATTTTGGAAATTTTGGAAATTTTGGAAATTTTGGAAATTTTGGAAATTTTGGAAATTTTGGAAATCTGGAAAGTTAGGGGAGAGAATTTTGGAAATTTTGGAAATTTTGGAAATGCTGGAATCTGCTCTATATATGACTCAAGTAAGATTACTGTGTAGTGCTTACTATGTAGTGTGTCAGCACAACCCTCATCCATACACGTGTGCTCTGTAATTCCTTTCTTGGTAGGACACCCGCTCGCCTTGTCGTGCTGCTTTCTGGTCTCAGTCTTTTGGTGGTTCCAGGGATACGTTCGGAGGGCTCAAACTCGATACTCCGGAAAAAGCACGAACACGCCGGTGGCAGCGATGTTTTAAAGGGGATGGTCTGTCATGGGGGGGGGGTGACCATATATATATATATATATATATATGTATACATGTATATATGTATATATGTATATGTGTATATGTATATATGTATATATGTATATATGTATATATGTATATATATATGTATATATATATATATGTATATATAGGGCTCAAATCGCCTCACCAGCGAGGTCCCTTCGATGCCCTATGGGGTATGGGGTTCGTCTTGGAGCCAGTAGCCTGCGGACTTTGACGCTTGGTTATATATGTGTTCTACCGGAGCCTGGAGAGCTGCCAACAATACAACAGCTTGCAGGGTTTGCTTCCGGGGCACCGTCGAGGATGTAGTGAGGCACAAGGAAAGATAGTCGAGTGATGCAGCCGACGAGTAGTGATGGCTGAGTTTTCATAAGCTAGAAAGGGTGTGCGTGCTTGTATAAACGCTGTCACTGTGCATACACGCATGTCTTGGGTCGGCACGGTTCTTTTGATAACCGTGTGGGGTCTTGCTTTGCTGTTTGCCTCCCCCAGCCCCTGGAGGAATAGGCGCAAAGCGGCACTGGTTCATTAGCGCTGTGGGCCCGTCATTAATTGCCACGCGCTTGTCGTTTGATGTCATTATATCACCTCTTCCAAGGTGCTTGACATCTAGGGTACGTACTATGCGCAGGGATGGCCTCACCATACCCGTGAGGAATACCTTGCAGGACCTTGCACTTTCCAAGGTCCGAAAAAGTGACCTGTAGTGTGGCTTGATATGGTCGTGGTTTGCCCCATTTTGGTTTTGTACGTGATATGTTGTTTGCGATACGGCTTTTGCTACGGCGTGGGTTATGCGCAACAGCATCTGCACCTGGGGGTCAAGTCAGATTTCTGCTCAGCCGAGATCGAGGTTTACATTGTGGCTAAAGCATACTGACCGTAGTCATATATATATATACGCATATACATATACATATACATATACATATACATATACATATACATATACATATACATACATATGTATGTATATATGTTGAATACCCACATGCATCCAAGTATGTGTAATGTGCACATTATAAGTATCATGAATACTGGTTATCATTGATAGCACCGGCCATTGAAGACATTGCAAAAGACGAAGAGACCCGAGACCCTCGCCTGCAGCCGATCCTTGCGTGCTTCTTCATGCGGGGCCTGCGCGGAGCCTCAATGCTCGTCGCGGCACAGAAACGCCCGACGTAGGGGCCTTCATAATTAGAATATAGGGTAGTGGGGATTCCTTTTTACAATGATAGCCTATCTTGGAGGTTCCTTATTGTAACTACAGAAAAATGTCCCCTAAAAACCCTATTCTAATCACTATAAGGCCTCTACATCACGGATGTTCTCTGACAATCTCACCCCTCATCTCCTGCCTTCGTCGGCTCCGGGAAAGGGATCTTCTGCCCATTTTGGAAGAGCAGCGGCTTAAATTCCTGCAGTTGAAAGACGGTTTAGGGTTTGGGGTTTAGGGACTAGTAGCAGCCACATCGGAAATGCCACCACACTGCAACATGCCTCTGGCACCGACGGATGCATGACGGGGCTGTTCCTTCCGGGCACTAGACAAGGCATCCTTTGTCTGACACTCCTCGGCACGTCACTAAGTCCTGTAGCGGGTGACATGAAACTCCAGCCCCTGCTGCCTCAGGTCAGCGGAGTACTCTGACACGGACCACTGACTTCCCAAATCCATTCAGGTTGCTCTGGATTTCCCCAGGCAACTTCACAGACCTGGCCAGGCAGCGAATTGCAATGCCGGATGCGGTGGCATGCGGCGACATTCGGCCACGTGATGCGATGCGTGGCTGGCCTTCTGGCTTGCGACCTTCCACTCCTTGAAGCCAGCCAAGCGATCGAAGACTTGCAGTGCATCTTGATGGCCTTACACGCGAGATGAGATCACGCGAGAAAAGCGCGGCCGGGGGGGGGGGGACGGCCAGAGATGGGTTTACGTCTCGGCCCAGGACTGACCATGTTGATGAAGGCGTAGCCCAAGCCAACTGAGTTCTTGAAGTCGATCGGCAGGTACACGAAATCGAAACGCGAAAAGAAGCCCTGCCCAGTCAGCAGGTCCACTACCTCACAGGATTCCATGTAAGGGGCAACGAAGACCCGCTGCTGGTTTACAGCACTACATGCTTCCAAACTCTGCATCTCAAACTCAAAGCTCACCCGTGATATGAGTAGAGGAGCATCATCCCGGCTGTAATCGTTGGGAAGGTTGCGAAGCATGACGGTCACCCATTCCGACTCCCTTGGCGAGCACAAAATCGCAAGATGAACTTTGCGGTATTGTCACTTCGACAGGCACAGCTAATGTTCTGTACTATTGATGTAGGCCTTGGCCTTAATTCAAGAAGCTCCTTCCGCGCTGCAGGTTCCACTCCAGGGTCGGTCCTTTGCGAAGGCAGTTTTACTGGTTTACCGCCAGCAGACTTCTAGATGGGCAGTTCTCCAAATTAGGGTCCTGTTTTGGAAGGGTGCCGTACTATTTTGGGGACCCACAAAAGGAACCCTAATGAAGTACCCAGATGTCTGGAGTCATCCTAAAATGGCATGTCATGGATTTCCTGCTCGACCTAAGAATCTTTCATAAGGACCCTTAGGGGAGCCGGGGGGGGGCATAGGGGCCTTAATCCCCATAATAAGGACTTCATAACCCCCCAAAGGGTCCCTATGAATCTTGCGGCAGCGAGTCTTGTGCCCGTTGGCCTGCGCATCGTCGGACCTGTCTTTGTGCAACCAACAGCGGCAACCCGAAAGCCAGCTAGTATATTTCAGTATGAGAATATCTCATAGTTTTTCATGTTATCGTATACTGTAGTATATCATACTATATCACAAATATGTCATAGCAACTACATAGTATGTTGTAGTATAAAATCACACATTAAATTGATATAGTATGTTGTGTTATCGTACATTAGCCCTCACTCCTAGAAACACGAACTCTGCTGGCACCAGACAGGTCGGTTCGGGGCCTTCGGGCATGCCCGTTCCCAGCTGCGGCGCCCATGGGCACACCCTTGGAAAGCTCGGCTTCGTCTTGAGGGTGTGGAAAACTGCTATGTACTATGATGCACAAGAACTATATTATACTGTCATATATTATAATATACTAGAACAGGCTATGATATCGTGAAGGCACAGGACTTTTGCAATTTCAGGGTTTAGGGTTTAGGGTTGGTTTTCTCAATGCGGAAGGAGCAACGAGGTTGATTGCATGGAATACACGTCTAAGGCTAGAACAATCCAGGGGGTTCTACTCGAGGTATTTGGTGGCGACCAAGATAGGCTTGTGCTTTGTGGTGATGACCACGACGAGACTTGCGAGCTTGCGGCAACTCCAGTTCGTTGTGCTTACCGGTGCTACCGGCGGAAGCACTATTGCCTGGAACTATCCTCTGGTGCTGCTACTACTACTACTACTACTACTACTACTACTACTACTACTACTACTACTACTCCTGGTGCTGCTACTGCTGCTGCTGCTACTACTACTACTACTACTACTACGACGACTACGACTACGACTGCGACTACGACTACGACTACTACTACTGCTACTACTACTACTACTACTACTACTACTACTACTACTACTACTACTACTACTGCTACTGCTACTGCTACTGCTACTGCTACTGCTACTGCTACTACTACTACTCCTCCTCCTCCTCCTCCTCCTCCTCCTGCTGCTGCTGCTACTTCTACAAAGTCGACACACAAGGCCCCGGCCCCGGGCGCAGGAAGCAGCCAGGGGTTGATGGACATGCCTGGGTCATGTAGGCTCAGATTTCCGGGCCTTTTTAGGAGTGGGCCGAGGGTTCAGGGTTTGGGGCTTGGGGCTTTGTACACGGCAAGGGGTGGGGCTTGAACAGCGTGGGAATCTACACTCGTGGGAACCGCAAATTGGGCATAATGACGAACACACCACACATGAACTTGAACATGTTGCAGTTCACAACGGTGTGCATCAGGGTTCAGGCTTTCCCGGGTTTAGGATTTAGGACGGGAGTGAGGCCTAGGCTATATGGCACAACCCCAAACGCCTAAACCCCTAGCCCCCAACTGCAATCAAGTCCTACACATCCCGAACCCCCCCCCCAACAAAAAAAAAACAACTGGACCCCCAATCCCCAGCATTTTCGGATCTGTTGTGGTGATGTTCATATTCCAAGGTGCCCATGCCCACAGCGCCAAGCGGGCCAGCCTAGCTCTTCTTGGCTTTGGGGGCCTTCCTTCTGGAACGGGCTTTTGCAAGGGGGCTTTTTTTTACGGGCTCTAGGGTTCTGAAAGCTTGTAACAAAGGTTCTAGACGGGTCCTATGAAGGACTCTGGCTTATAAGCTGGGCTGTTTTGGTCTCAAGGTTTAGAGTGAGGTAAGAGGGCAGGCGCATTCTCCAGGTGTTGAGATAAGTTGGGCAAGTCTTGCTTTACAATACGCAAAAACTAGAACTTAAGCCTCAATCCTGTCAACCCAAAACCTAAACTTTCAACCCTACTGCGCCAGGCCGATCGTTCGACCGAACAGCCACCCATTCCCACATCCTCCCCATAGACTCCTGACACAAGTTAGCCTTGGGGCCTCCTCCCCAACTAACGATTAATTAGCATAGTTTGAAGACAGGGTAGTACCTACCCCGCTAGCCTGCGTGAGGTAAGCGATTCTGTTAGGCACTCCGCTACCACTCCGCTACTCCGCAAAAGTCTGTATGCTAGAGAACACTACTTCTAGCTCGAAACTTTCGGCCCGGGGATGTAAACTAAACAATAAAGAAAGAGAACTACAGGAACTGTCAGGAAACTCTGCTAGAAGCTTCTTGTTGGAAGCACCCAGGTATGCCGGCGTAGGCTCCGAAGCATTCCAAGAGCGAGCCCCAGGGTCCCAATCGCTTCCCTCCATACAATAAACAACGATAACAATAACAATAGTAATAATGATAATAATACGAATAATAACATATAATAACTATAACAATACCAATGTTGGTTGGTTGGTTGGTGAGGCCTCCAGTTTAACTGGTGCCGCCCGCACTCTTCCCCCCCCGCATCTCAGGGCAACTCCGGAAGCGTCATAGCTGCCCTCCAGAGGGGGTAATAGTGCAGCCAAGGCGCATGAGACAGGAGGGGGGGAGAAGAGGGACCCGAGTAAAAAGGAGAAGGGGAGACAGGGGGGGAGAAAGAGAGTGTGGGAGGAGGGAAGGAAAGCAATGGAGAGTAGGCGAACCACCCAGAGCAGGGGGGACGGGGGAGGAAGGCGGGGAGGAGGGACCAAGGGGCCGGAAATGGGGAACGGGATGCAACCGAGTAAGCAAAGAGCAACCTCCTTGCTGAGCTTCGGGGGTTGAGGGAGAGCGGCGGGAAAGTACAACGCAACCGAGCAGGGACCAGCTGTTGGGACCGGAGGAGACAACCACTGGGCAGCGGGGGACAGGCAGGAGCGAAAAGGTGGGGAGGAGGGACAAGGGGAAGGGGAGGAGGAGGGCCGCAAGGGGAGGTACCGTAAGCGCCCACCCAGAACGGCAGCAGGAGCGGGGGAAGGGGGGAAGAGGCAGGAGAGGGAGAACGGGATGTTTCCGAGTAAGCAAAGGGCAACCTCCACCCTCAGCTGGGAACAAACACGTCTCGAGGGCCGGGAGGGGGCAAAGACAGGGGAAGGGGGAGGGGGAAGAGAAGAGGGAAGAGCCCGTAACCAACAGTGATACAGCTGGCAGGCACGATGTTTTCAGCTCGCGACTAGTCTGATGTGAGACTCTGAAACCACAGCTCGGCCTTCTGCTTGCAAAGCTTTACAGGCCCGGAAAAGAACAGTGCGGCGCCAATCCGGGGTGCTGTGAGGCGCCCACTGCCCCAGAGCGCAGAGTAGGGTGTCCAAAGTAGCAGGTCCTGTCCCCCTCAGGTGACTGAGGAGCCAGCGCCGAACACGGCGTAGGGGAAGGTATGGCGCGGGGGAAGAGGCCGAGCCAGCCCCAGCAATGCAAGCTGCAGCCGAGGCCTGCAGGTGTTGTGCGAGTGCGGAACTCGGAGGAGGTGTGTCCTGGTTCCTTGCCGGCAAAGCGGCGACCGATTGGTGCCAGGTCCAAACACAGTCCGGACACAGTTGCGGGTGATCTGTCCCTCGGACTGCGTAGGACGGGTGGGCGCCACGGCCCCAGAGGCAGTGACCCTTGAAGTGGAGGACAGAGTGACATGCCTGACACCAGGTACCTTCAAGGCAGCGGCACCATGGGCACGGTGAGGGGGCGGTGGCCGCCGGAGGCAGGAGCAAACCACGACAGTGCCAGCAGGCGGTAGCTGCGTGAACTGGTGGGTTGTTAGCACAGGTGCAGCGTTGGGACAAGCAGGCAGTGAGGAAGGTCCAGTTGGGACGGGAGGCACCCCAAAAAGGTGCAGAGTGGAGCAGGGTAGGGATGCCAGCCCCATGCAGAGCGTCGGCCAGTAAAGAGGGGCTGCTGCGTCCACAGTGGCGGGCGCGACGCAGGCGGAGGACGGCGGCATCCTGTGGCAGGAGAGCCCAGCGGAGTTCTCTTACGAAGGAGAGAGCCGCGGGCGAGTGTAGCCACTCTGCCAGAGTATCCGCAGGCAAAGCTTGGGGAACAGCGGGGTCCAAGTCGGGGGAGGCCAGTACCGGGTCAGCAGGGGCGGGAGGGAGGGAAGCTTGAGCCAGCAGGGCCCAAGCCTCCAGTCGGGCAAGGTATGCCGCACGGACGAAGCGAAGACCAAGGGCAAGGCGTTGGCAAAGAGTAATAGCAACAGAGAAAGGCTTGGAACAATTCTCGATGGACTGAAGTTCTGACTGAACTGCCGACGTGTTCCGCAAGGTGGCAAAGGTTTCAAAGTCACCCTCCGCCAACCGGGCAAAGTCAGGCTCAGGCAGCTTGCACAACACACGTCCCAGATTGCGCGGCAAAATGCCGCGGTAGGCTAAGTCCGACCCAAGTTCGCGCGAAGTGGCAGTGGCGCTGCTTTCATCCACATCCACGAAGAGTGAGGACTCCCTAGAGGGGATGGGCACGAACCAGCGCCAGCCGGACAAAATAGGCCAGCGTTCTTGGGAGGCAGAAGGAGGAGGCGGAGGGGCGGACCCGCAGATCCCCCGCCACGTGGCTGCTGCTTCAATGAGAAAGTGCGTGGGGGCCAGCCGGCGTAGTTCGGACTCGATGTCATCGCGCAGCCGGTCCGCCAAGGGGGCTAAGGCAGAGCAGCTCATTACGGCATGGCGTGGCGTGCCCGGTCCATTCCTGTACAAGGGGCATTGCCGCGGAGAAGGTAAGTTGTGGTGCTGACAATACCAATGTCAATAACAATAATAGCAGTAACAATAACAGTAGTCATCATACTAATGATAACAACTTGGGAAAAAAACGCAAGAACTCGGCCGTGAGCTCCCACCTCCGAGCTCGCCATTTCTTGGGAGGCGGCCACAGAAGCCATCCTTTGCTGGGTTCTTCTTAAGGAATGTAATTTAAGCTAGGGATCATAGTAAGTAATATGGTTCCCTTATATGGTAAAGTAAATCACGTAAATGACATCCCTTAACGAGAGCCCAGTACTTGTAGAAGTAGGGTCGGCTTCATGGGGCTCCAGAAGGCGTCTGTAGCGCTTTAGGGCTTAGTTTAGGGTTTAGGGTTTAGGGTTCGTAAATTGTTGACCAGGTTTCTCCCCCATCATTTTACTGTCGAGGCTCTTGGTCGTTTGAAGGAGAATGCCGATGTTTCGCATGGTGGATGGATGGCCAGTGCGGGGCTTTCGAGGCATGTCTCCGCTTGCCTCCCTTTATGTGGGCTCTCGTTCCCCCTCGTCTCCCTCTTATTTGGGACGGGGCATTTTCTCCCCTTGTCTCCGTTGTCGGTGATGTCTTCCCTCGTTTAGCACCCGGTCGAGTGGCCAATGCCCATATCTTGCCACCAAAGCCAGGTCTTGCTCGGGCTTCAACTGTTTGGGGTCTTCGGTGGTGTGATTTCCAGGGCATGAGGCTTAGGAACTCACACGTGATACCCGACAATCGCCAAAGAAGATATGCCCCCAAGCCCAAAGCCTCTACCCATCAATCTAAAATGCTAGGCCCCTTGACTCTGAAGATGCCCCGAACTCCTAAACCCGAGAACCTGAAATCGTGAACCACAGGAGCAGTTACACTCCACGCCCAAATCCAAACCATGCCACACAAACTGGCCCGAGGCTCTGGGAATATTGATGGGCCATGGCTTGAAGGCTTGCCGCGTACTGGGCTAAGACCTGCGCGCTGGCGCCTGGAACTTGGCAGGGTATTTGTAGGTGGGGGAAATAGATTTGGGTGGTTGTCAAAATTAAGGTCCCTTTTTGGGTACCCTAAATAATACGTGCTGTAGTGAAGGCCCGTTTTTGAATTCAGAGGTTGGCTTTTCGATTTGAGAGGCCAGGCCTGCCAGTGCAGGAGTTGTATTGAAAGCTGGTTGGCGTCTGCCTTCGGGGGGTTTCGGAGTTTTAGGTTCGCGCTTGGATTGTGGTGAATCACGGTCATAATGCTTCCGAAGTTGGGATTACAAGGTAGCCCTGCGTTGAAGGGAATAGATTTTACGCAGAATTTGGGCAAGAAAAATCTGGGATTCAGCAGTTGGTAACCGTTAGAACCGGCTCCAGGAGACGGAACCAGAGAGGGATCGCTTCCTCAACATCCCCAGAACGAAAGTTCCAAACGCGGAAAGCAAACCGGGAATAATGGCTTTGACAGGGTTTATGGGGTTTAGGGTTGAAAGTAGGACTCACAAGGGCTCATGAGATGGTGTCGCCTGCGATTATGCAATCTTCGGGTATCGCACTGTGCCGCAGCTTCTCGCCTGAAGGAGGTATCGACGGCATGGGCATGGAATAGCCCGGAAAGGGCGGCATCATCTGCGAATAGCCACCGGTCTCACCTGGCGTTTCACGTCTGCATCTGACCGCCTCGGCCGCAGCGCAACAGTGCCTGCGTGAGCTCCAGGTTCAGGCTCCTGATAGGCAGGCCATTCGTACCTTCGGCGGCGTGAGAAGTCACGTGCGGAGGAACATCTTGCGGAAGGTCATGACCTCTGCCCCGTCTCCATGCAGACTTTACCCTACATCCTCAACCCCGAACCACAAGCATCCTCTCTTGAAGACAGGCAGCTCGGTCTTGACGGAGCCGAAGGACGTTGTATCCTTACATCTCTCGTGCGCATCATAGCCTGCAAGGCTTTGGGCTCCAGGGCTTCGGGCTCAGAGGGTTTTCGAGTCCAGGGGACTTCCCTCCCTATTGGCTACAAGGCATCAAAGGGTCACCGTGATTCACAGATGGGAGTCCTGGACCAAGTCAAGAGGCTCAGGCAACCCTCGAATCAAAAGCTTGAAGGCTCCTCCACAAGAGCCTCAAACCCTCGCACCCGAGATGCCGACAAGCCTGCTAGAGTCCAAACCCCGTAAAACCCTACACCCTGAACCACGAACCCCAACGCCTGAGCCTAAAGCCTGAAACCCTGAACAACAAAAGAACCCCAAAAATCTAAAACCCAAACCCAAAGCTCCAACTATGACTCCAACCCTAAACCCCAATCTAGTGACACCCTGAACTCCGAAGCCCCAATTAGCTCCAAAAGCCTGGAAGGAAACCCGCGGCCTACCGGACTCCCTTCGACGTTCGGGCCGATAGGAGGCCTCCAGTGTGTTGCGATGTCTTATAGATGTCGGTCCCCAGTCAGGTTTCGGGCTTTGGGGTGACCAGTTCAGATGAAAGGCATAGGATTTGAGTTGATCAATGTGGGGCCTAGGGTTGAGGGTGAAGGTTCTAAGATTTGGGCCGTAAGTGTGGTTGTTCCAGCCAACTTCCCTTTCCTCTTACGACAAATATTGCGCTGGACCTCCAACTCCAAGCGAATCACCATCGTCACCCCTAGCATGATCGTCACTCTGAGTATGCACAGCCCTCATCTCCACCAGGAGTTTAAGAGCATACATGCAAAAAGCATGCATGCATACATCCATACATACATAGACACATTGCTTAAGCTGTTTAGGACTGGTAAGGTAGAGGCTAAGGTGTGCAAGCGGAAATGTCATGATGAGACGACGACTAGCACGGCATAACAGGAGTTTAGGGGTTAGGGCTTCGGGCTCTCCAGTCTTTGTGTCATGGGCCACATGGTTCCTCTGAGCACACTGCTGTGTCGAAGCAGCTGCAGCAGGTACCGGTCCGTGATAGCTAGGCCATTCCTTACTTACAAAATTTGCCGCTTGTGGTCACGACTCGCAACATTGGCTCGCTGAGGATTTAAAGATCAATCAAACATAACTTAACATACGCACGGAGCAACCTCTTGGAATGCGAGACTGCGGGAAGAGTGTCAAACTGAGTCGTCGTAGATCCCCAAGATCGTGTGTCCTCAGATGCACAAAACTGTCAGAAGTGCGCGAATAGCTCAAACATCAAGCGGTCATCTAAGCGCCGTGCAGCAGGATTGGTAAAGGATGGGTTTCCCGTGAAGCTTCCTGCACCAGGTAATCACTCGATGCAAGATCACAACATCCTCGCTCACCCCGTCTCCCCCAAAGGTTCACATGTTCGCGGTTGAGCCCAGGCACCTCGCGGCTCCGACCCCGGATCCGACCTCACCGGGATTCAGGTAACAGTCTCGGGCTGAGGGCGGTTCAGGCGTGAGAACGAGTGCCCAGGACTCTCCGGGTCTCATGCGTGAATGAGCCAACTGGATGGCCCGGATGAGGTCTCCGGATTTCCTGTCAAAAATGCAAGGGCTTCTCGTAACATTGCTAGGGTGTCCTATTACGCTACGCCGACTACAGTTACCTTCGTTTGGTAGGTCGATGTCTCAAACAAGACGCCTCATATCGCCTCATCCCCGTGGCATTGTGGGAATCGCTCTAGCAAAATGTTCTGACATACTTGGCCATGGGTGTCTCCGATGTGCCTGCAGCGGCAGCGAGAAGCCGTCGCCTCCAGGTTGCGGATCCTCAGCAAGAGCCGCAGAGAGCAGCAGCAGCAGCAGCAGCTCTGCCTACGTAGCGATGTACTACCTGTTTGCCCATGACACCAAGGCACGTGTCTTGGCACAAAACTTCCAGGAGTGCTACTGTTACACTCATGCTCCTGCTTACCACCAGCACTAACGCGAAAATGACGACTGGCACAAGCACTTCTCGTTCCACTGGCACTTCTACTTGTATTGCCTATTTCTAGCACGGCTGTTGATGATTCGCATGACAAGTCCTCCTACTCTTTTGCTGTTATTTGCTTCTGCTGCTTTGTTCCGCGACTGAGGGACCGATGCCGCTCATGGGCTCGTGCACCCCAATTTGGAAACGCACAATACAGCCTAAGCCCATCTGCCCCAAAAGGACTTGCCTGCAGCACATGATGCTAAAGCGCGGCCGTGCACAATGCATCCCTGAAGCCCAAACATGCAACGACATCATGAAACCCGAGATGCCGCCAGAAAATCAGGCTGGCTGACATAGGCAGGCGATCCTCGAGATGCAATGCAGCTCAAGAGCTTTGGCTTGGGAGCTTTTCCCTGGACAGAAATTCGAAGCGGCAGCTCTAAACTCTTGCGAAGCGCCTTTAGAACCCCTCGTAGCCTGGCATTGCAAGGAGAGCCCATTATGCTTGAACTGACGGGTTGCTGATCGAAGGGTGTCAAGACCGGAGACTTCGGGGAAAATCTTTCGACTGTGTGGGCGTGCCGGTTTATGCCAGGGGCCTTGTCTTGATGAAATAATTGAGGGCTTCACTACAGTGGTGGAATCTGCTGGCATGATTTGCCCATGATGTGCCTGTTTCGACCTTCGACTTTCAGTGTTCCGGAAGCCGTGGCCAAGCGCTGTGCGGAATTAGCACTGGGGCATGCCGGCCCGTCCTGGACCTACCGCTGGCCGTTCTCCAAAGGTCATTTCACCTTGGCGGCTCTGCAAGTTGCGCATGAGTTCGTTTCCTTCGCCGCCCCAGCAGCCAGCATCTGAGTGGGCAGCTGTCCTCTTGAACTGTGTCCACAGGTCTGCGACCTCGGAGAGCACAGTGAGATATCAGAAGTATGCAAAGCCTGTCTGTAACCCTAAAGGAATGAGCAACCATGCCAAGAGCAATGCTGGGCTCGGAGGGGACATCCCCCATGTCTTGTTTCGGCTTGGCCTCATCCTCACAGTGGCAGCGCATGCACCGGCATATAGACAGTACAGAAATGTACAGAACCAACCACGATGAGAAGAGACCGTCTTTCCAAAAATCCTCGAATGAAACTACTTTTGATGAACATCCACATCCTAAAAAAGCAATCCGTTGGTGGGATACTCTACGGGCGGCAGCATACTGAGTTTGGGGAGCCAGGCTTGCAGGGATACACTCAAAAGGGTGAGATGCCCTGACAAGACAGTGGTAAGTGGTACTCACGGGACATCATACTCTGCAGAAACGTCTACAGAAAGACTCCGTGGGATGCCACTTGTTCATAGACACAAGTGAATACGTATGTATCTTGAAGAACTAGAGAAGATGGCTTGGATAAGAAGACAACATGGACAAATGATACAGAAAGGCGGACCAGCAAAGAGCTATCTATATGCGTGCTCAGCAGTGTATAAGACTGTATGCATGGACACAAATATGCGAATGTAGATCCAGAACCCTAAAGGCCAGCTCGGAAGAGCCGATGTCCTGCTTGCCGCGTCCTCTGAAGAAGCGCATCTTTGAAAAGGGCGTGGAAAATGGCTGCGTTCGGATGCACTTCTCTTCTGCAGTTGCATACTCGTAGTGTTTCTGTGTGACTGTCTGTAGCTGGAAGGGTGCCTCCGCACGGCTGCATGAGAACGGGTTTCAGGACATTGGTGCCTGAATTCGGCTTAAGTTGTTGGTGCTAAGCAGTTTCCTTGCTGCTGTTTAACCCAGTAGCTACGCGGTGGCCACCTGTCTCCTTGACAGCGGCTGCAATCAGAGGTCATGGCGTTCACGGCTGGATCGACTACTCTAGCCGCTAACCTTCTCACAAAAGCATTTGGTCAAAACATGCACGTAATTTGAGGTTCCAGGCCTCAGGCTGATCGACGTTCCGCGCCTCGAACGGTCCAGAAAGGAGGCTTCCCAAGGATGCCGCTAAGAAGTACCATAACACCACAACTCTTGCACTGTGACATCAAGACGTTCCAGCACTCTAGCACTAAGTCGCTGTTGGAGTAGGACACTACTATTGGCGCAAGAAGTAGTCGACAACGAGGGAAGAAGTAGTCGAGAACGAGGGACTGCTATCATATCACCATGCTTCAAGCTCCATTGCCAGACTGCTCGAAGACTATACTACCAATAACCACCAATAATCAAAGCAATGTGGGAGCATACTTCAAAACCTGCACAATACCGCACACTCCATACACCTACCATAATGTCCACTGCAATGCTTCGCGCCCCAAAACCCCGAAATCCACATCATGTCGGACAATTCACTCACCCGAAACTCCAAAGCGGGGAGCTCTGATTGGGCTCCCGGCGCCAGCACGCAGCCTGGTCCAGCGTTTAATTAGGGTTTGGGGATTTACGGACTGCAGGATTGGAGGGTTTTACAGAGTTCCAGTCGAATAGTTCGGGCATGCGCGTTCAGTGTGTCGTTGCGGCTTGGGGATCGGACTTGCAGCCACCCAAGCCCGGAAAGACCCTGAAGCCTTGAACTCCTTTGGGAGTTTCCGAAAATGAGGGACCCTAATACAGTGCCCTAAATAGTCGGATCCCTATTTTTTGGGGGGCCTCAAAATAAGGTACCCCCAGTTTCCGGAAACTCCCATTTGCCATAAACAACGGAATCGCACCATGGCGCCTGGCCAGTGGCTCTGCGAGAGTCGTCGGCAGAGGTCGAAGCTCCGACTCCTTCAAAGGCTGGCGTAGGTTTCAGGGGTCTGGTGTTTGAGGTTTGGGGCTTTAGGGGTTTAAGGTTCAGGGGGCTTAGGCCTTGGGGCTATAGTGTGTGATCTGGGATGTGGGAATTTAAGGATAAACATCGGCACTTTTCAGGTGCGCGGTCGAGAGCACGTCTTGTTTTGGCGAGGCGCGGCTGCCAAATCAGCAGCAGATACGGACCTCCCTTTCCAACAAGGTGGGCACAGTATTGCAAACTGCCTCGGTGAAGGAAGGAAGCGCTATCCAGAAGGGCTTCAGCTCCTGCTGACGTTGCTTGAAGGCCTGCACGCATCGCAGGAGAAGCACCTGAAAACTGCAAGCTTGCGAAAGTGCTTTGCCCAAAAGCAAAGTGCAAAAGTGGGCGAGAGAACTCAGGTCCATACCCTTTCTTGCTTGATCTCCTTCACCAGCAGTGCCGTGATGCCTTGGCAAAGAGGGTGAATTCATGTGGAAGAGCTACTGCCTAGTAGATGAGACAGGCTCCAAAGGGATACTCTAGGCTTTAGCAGACTAGGGTTTCGGAGTATACTCTACTGTAGCTGCAGGGATAATGAGGCAACACACTTTCTGGGATCCGGTCCACTCGCTCCTGTCGCGTCCACCTCTGACGCTCCAAGCTGTGGGGGTGCATCCAACATGGACAGCAGCTGGCCGCAAGCCTTCGAGAACGTTTCAGAATTTAGGGCCTGTTTTTGTTGCCGCAAGACTACCAGCATGGTTGAGGGAAGCATACGCCTAATGATGGGGCCGCATCCCAGGGGGATTCACCACCTTACCACCATAACTTCCCCACTACCACACCGCCCCCCTTGCAACAGGCGTTTTCGTTTGCCAAAGCATCACACTGTGGGCAAGGCTCACCTCAAAGCAGTGACAGTCATCCACCATTACACTCATTACACTAACACTAAGCAACACAGGACATGTCCCGTGGCCCTGCCTGTTTAAGGTTTAGGCTTGGGTTTAGGTAGGGTCCCTCGGCTGGCAAGCAGCCTCTTCAACCGCCTTGTAGATATAGCGGTCCTTTCAGGTCATGAGTAGTTGGCAATTCCGTTTCGTGCCGCTGCGATGGTTGTACTGAATCAGGCTCACCTGTTCGGACATGAGTGTGCATCTTACATGCATGTGCATGGTAGTTGGGCACACATGCAGTTGGCGCTTACATGTCCGTGCTGTGCATGACACACACACACACACAGGATGGTACTACTGCATCACCCTGTGGGGCATCATGTTGTATGAACAGCTGCGTATTGTGAATCAGAGTCAAGGCATACCACAAGATGCTTGGTTAGCACCTTTCCGAATCATTCAATGCATGGATATCGTGTTCCAGCCCAATGGTCTGTGCCAGAAGATTTGCTGTGAAAGTTCATGCTGGTAACAGGCATCAAATGGCATCTCGTGCCAGCAACAGCACATACCCTTTTAGAGTAGATCCTGTTACACTGCTTTCCAGTGAGGTACGGGGAAGCTTGATTGCTTTGTGCTCCACCACAACGCCCTGCGTCATCTGAATAGTCTTGTGCATCTGGTGCGTTATGTGATATGTGCTGGTTTATGCTACCATGTGTTGATGTGGCGAGCGTTCTTGTGTCACGTGGCGCAGTGTTGTAATACGCTCATAGCTTTACCTCGAGCGTGGATGCCTGCTGCTGAGTGGAAAACCAGGCGAAGCGAGACAAGAGCAACAGCAGTAGCAGCTGCTGTAAACTCCTACTCCTACTCCTACTACCCCTACTCCTACTCCTACTACTCCTACTCCTACTCCTACTACTCCTGTGCTCCTGCTCCTGCTGCTACCCAGCAAGTCCTCTCGGAGTTGCTCGTGGGGCTGGAGCTCCCCAAACTGCTCCTTCCGGGGCCCCGCTTTGAGATTTGGGCTCGGGTTTCCGATAGAAGAGGATGGCTTAGGTTAAAGCATGGGGCTTCAGGGACGTTTGGGTTTAGGGTGTCAAGGCTAGGATGTTCGGATTTGTGGTGTTCGGTTTCGCATCTTCGAGGCTAAGGCTTTAGGGGGGTTTTGAAATGATAGGGCTGTAGCGCGTCAGGATGTGGTACGGACCTGCACCCGCGGATCAGACCATCGAGTCACGACCCAGCAAAACACACATGAAGCAAAGAACGTTCGAAGACCGCATCTCCTGGAAGGAGAGGTAGCGGGCCTCGACGCAAGCACGGTGCTTGAGGGTTCGGAGATGCACCTAAGAAGCTTAACCCCTACAGCGCGACAACAGGAAGTTGTGGAGACAGGTAATGCCGGAAACAGATGTAGTCCTTACAATCTTGGGTTTTCGAAAGCATCGCAGAGCCTGTCTGTGGCAGTCGATGATGGAGTTGTCAATGACGTCTGGCGAGTCATACCGAAGGATGTAGGCGGGGCAGTGCACCTGCGCGGGGACGGAAGCTCACATGCACAGCTAGGCCTATCGAGCCAAGCCTCCTTCAGAATCGAGGTGAGAATTTCCGAAGATAGGGGACCCTAATTTCGTACCCTAAATAGTAGGATCCTGATTATAAGGGCCCCAAAATACGGTACCCCTAATTTTCGGAAACCCCCAGATGATGCGGCTACATCGAGAACCCTAGTACCCGAAACTTTAATCACATATCGTATACCTACATCCTAAGCCTTTGAACCTCGAAAACTCATGGCCCTTGATTGGTCTCGCTACATCGGAACTGTCTTGCAGCAGGCACCGCGATTTTCGCTCATGGCGTACGTTCCCATGAAGCATTGAATTCCTCATTATCGAGGGGGCAAGACAGCATCCTGCGCGAATAAAGTTGCAGCTCCGTACAAGCCTCGCAAAAATAAAATGAAGTGATCAAGTGAGTTTGGCAGGTACATGGAGCCACAATCCAAGGAACGACTTCCCGAAGACCTGCGAATCCAGTCCTGCATACCACCTGATGCCCTCAACATCCTTCAAGCAAACAGAAACTGTTGAAGCCTTGCACCGCAAACCTTGCATCCTATCCTGCTGCACCATGCCACCTTTCGGAGATTGGCAGGCTGACGGGAGCTAACTAAGATGCAAAGTGGCTGCTCCCATGGGGTGTTTGGCGTTTGGACGGCTTTCGTGTATATAGGGATGTAAGTCCCACAAAAGTCCGCTTTTATGCAAGCCGCGGTTCGTGCATTCCTCCTGTTGAAGACGCACTGAAACCCAACCATGAGCGAAGCCAGTGGGACCCACCCTCACATGGGCGGGCACAATCGCGCTGGAAGAGCACCTGGATTACCAGCAGATTACCAGGATGCATGGGTTCGTGAACCTCCGAGACTCTACAGTGTTAGGGTTTAAGCTGTTCATGTCTCTTTCGAATTTCGGAACATTTCAGAACTGACCTGCCTCAAGCAGGGCCGGGCTGGGTGCGTTGCTATGCAAGCTCGCTTGACAGGACCAGAATGTAAAAAAAAGGCAGGAAGGCGGCTCTGCTTTTGGTCCACCTTACCGGTGATCCTTGAACGGTAAGCCCCTGAACCCTCAAACTTGAATGAATTGTCAGACCCTGCCCGCCTAAACGCCCTGAACCCGGCAATTGAGCGATTGTCGAAGCTGTGCCGCGCACCGTCTGCCAACAGGCGCAGCATGTCTGGCCCCTTTGAAAGTGGCCTCCCGGCTTCTAGGATGGCATGCGCAGGCAACTAGCATCCCTGCTGTAATGCTTAAAGGTTTCGAAAACTGGGCTGAAATGACTGGTCGCAGAACAGCACTACCTGATTCCACCAGGGTGCCGTCCATGAAGCAGGGCCAGAGGTAACTTCGGGTCCTGTTTTACGAGCTCCACTATCGAAACCCCCAGGCCCAGGCACAACTCGGAATGGCCCCGCAAAAGATCCGCGGCGCTGAAAACCCTGAGTACCCCTTGACCCCTAACTCTAGTGCTCCCTGAACCACAAACCGCAAAGAATCCCGGAAGTCTTTCCCGACCCACAACATCCCCGAAGCCCAAAATGTCCCTAAAGAGGACACCCCAAAATGGGAGCTTCCGCAAACCCTACATAGTAGGATCCTTATTATAAGGACCCCAAGATCGGGTGCCCCTAAGTTTCGGAAACTCTGAACCCTTATACAGCCCTTTAACGCAAGTAACCCTTTAAAGGTACTCCCCTAGTTTTCGGAAACCCCCACATGGCCTCAGCTTTGGGGGCCGCCTGCCGGCTGCTCCAGTGGCAGGGGGAAGCTGCGGTGTCTCAGTGAGAAGTGCAGTGCCGGGCTTGTGGCTTAGGGCTTAGCGTTTGGGGTGTAGGGCTTAGGGCTTAGGGTTTAGGGTTTAGGTTGAGGGTGGAAGTTGGCTTCAGGTTTGGAGTCGACGAGCGTTCGGGGTGTGTGTTTTAGGGGGCGTTTGGATTTAGGGTTCAGGGTGGGGGCTTTGGGGTCGGGGGCTTGAGGTCTTTTAGAGCGAAGGCATCCGGCGAAGGCATCCGGCCCCACAATCCAACTGGAAGGCGGAAGTGTTTGGATCTCCCACCCACAACATCTGCTCCTCCCTTTTAGGCTGCCCTAGCCCAAAACACCGCAACATGCAGCAGGGCCGTAGCTGAGGGCCACTCTCCCCGAGTCTTGACGAGTTTCGAGACCAACCACTGATGCTGGGGCTGCTGCACTTTTCGATTCCAAGGGCCTGCTCTTCTTCGAGATGCCCTTGTGAGGTGAGACAGCGGCCTGCGAAAGCTCTCTCTCTCTCTCTCTCTCTCTCTCGGTGTTCTTACGTGAATTTCGTGTCTCTGACCGGGGACCACTGGGATTCGAAGACTATCTCGGTCCACGGCCCTGCTGCCTTTGCGCCCTTTGTAACGTCCACCGGCATGCTCTGGTAGGTTGCCTTGGGCGGGAGGCTTCGGAGAAGCGCTGGGGTTCGAAACCTGCAAGACTCTACCAGGAACAACTACAATGTACCATAAGAAGCTAGAATATAATTATATACGATCATATACTACACCGGAGAAGACAACACCTGGACCAGGAAGCTACTCATGGTCACGACTCTGAACTACGAACCCGAAGCGATCCCGCATGGATCGGCCTCGCTGTGCTGTGAGACTTTACGGATGCTGATCATTAGCTGGGAAGTGTTGCACTCTGAGGTCTCGGGCTCGTTGCCGCACGAAGCGCCGCTCCTGCCCACTGGGGTTCCCAAGGCCCCTTTTGACTCACGAAGCTCTCCCGTGGCAGCTTCACCACATCGATGACGCAACACAGGGAGCTCGTGCCATCTGAACTCCGAAAGCTGCTGCACATGGCCGTCATGCCGAAACCCAGCCACAAAGATGCAAGAGGGACCTGGAGAACAGGATCGGTGTGGAGTCGGACCTCCTGCAGCAAGACGGGGAGACTCCGGAAGCAATGGCAAGTCGGAGTCCCCTCCGCCTCGCCCTGCAAGTCGATGTCCACGGCAGCCCTGCGGAAATCCGGAGTGGGGTTTAGGGTTCAGGGTTTAGGATGGAGATCAACCGCTTGCGCCTCTTGTAGTTCTGGTACACAGTCGGAGGGCTGATGACCCTGTGCGGCTGGAGACTCGACGTCTAAATCTTAACAACACAGCCTGTGGAATGTGACCAACAACCTGCCTATGGTAGTTCAAGCGTAGCACACGCTTGGTCTCATCTGCCACCTGCAGGCAGAAGCTTCTCAGGAAGCTTGAAAAGTGGCCCTTTTGAGTGCCGTCCAGCCTTGTTCGGGTCGAGGGATATAGCCGGCAAGCTAGAGACCTTGGAACACGACGGAGTTGAGACGGTACTAGAATGACGTCAGGGTGCGTGGCGGTGGCCAGCTTTGTACACGGCCGTCGATCGACGGCAGCCTCGGAAGAGCAACAACACGTCCAGTCGCAAAAATATAGGGGCGAAATAATGTCAATACTGTTTTGGCAGCTCCTTGTTGCATTAAGGCCGCCATATTCTTATGTTAGTAAATTCTCGCCGTCCGCCATTCAACGAAGCAAAGGCAAGGCCCACCTCGATGGCGGCGCTTTGCTGCTCGAATCGCTCCATGAGGCCTACAGGGCTTCAGGGTTTAGGGTTTAGGGCAGCCCCAAAGCGATTGGCCAGAAAACCAGTCTTCCTACATGCAGCCCGAATCCATGCTTGGGCAGGTTGTCTAGCATGCACTGCATTGCACTGCAGCAGTACCACTCGCCTGTGTTTACCAGACGGCGCTGGCAAGCTGCTGCCAGTCCTTCCAAGCTTGAATCGTTCGAGTTGCTGTCGCAACCACAGCCACAACATGCCATGACCAACATCATCGCCGAAAGACCATCATCGGAATCATCGTGGTGCCGCTCCTCATCACCACCATGACCATCCGCATCATGCGCGTTGTCACTTCAGAGACATCTGCACCCATCTCCTGATCCAGCTGGCGGTCTCACCGCCACAGGCCTGGATTCCGGCGGGAAAACGTCCTGCACACGGAGATCCCCGGTAACCCGGTATGATGTCTCTGCAAGCACGAAGAATGGCTAATTGACCCATGTGCCGGTCTTCCGATCTTCTTCGAAGCTGTCCGATGATGCTTTCAACGTGGAATGTTGGTAGAATGTGCACATTCAGACAAACAGAAACAAGTTTCTAAGTTCTGCCAACATTGGGCAAGCCTCTGTTCCGCCGATTCTTTTAATAAACAAGCCATTTTTGCTGCAACAAGCAAACGAAAGCCTGGCGAAATCACGGAAGCCGAAACGACACTCCAAAACCTCAGTTGCTCGCTAGCAGGACTCGACAGTTTCGAAAACCCTGGGATGATGTTAGACCCCTTTTTTTGCCTTCGGACTTCCTGCAAATCTCTTGGTTCCAAGTCCAGATCATGGCTTCTTTGCTTTCGCCGGAAATATGCTACACGTTGTTGTCCAAGACATGGCACTTTTCATAGTTATCGCACGCAAGTTGTACCATCAGAAGCATCGTGTTATTGCATTGCGCCACTACTTCAGGCATAGAAGCAGTTGCAGTAAAGGGATGCCATCCTTCGTCGTGGTGCATAAAACCAAACCAACATTTCAGTGCGCCGTTGTCATAACTAAGTTGCTCTGTCCAACACACTTGCCCTTTGGCAGGTCCAGCATCGGAAGTTTCGGCCCCATTTCCAACGTACTGGGTGTCGTGGGTCAGCTTACAGAAACAAACAGTTTCAGGGTCTGTTAACCGTATATCGTAAGTTACACGAACCACTGACTTCGCAAGTTGCAAACCCAACTCACTGCGATTGAAATACTGTCGGCAGGCCTCTTCCTGCTCTTCCGCCTGCTGTCCTGCAGTAATCATGCGCTGCTGCATACTGCTGCCATCTCCCATGTGCAATGCCCCCCTAGTGAACATACGTAGTACTTAGAGTTGAAGGTTTAGGGCAGACAGTGCGAAGACTGCCATGCCGTGGCATCTCGCTAGTGCCGCCTTCATCGTCAGGATACTCCTCATACCCGACGCCGGTGACAATTCCAAATGCAACCAGTAGCAGATATTCGGCCCCTGTTGCACCTATACTATATATGTATATACATACATACATACATACATATATATACATATATATACACATGCCATGTGTACAGAAAATGGAGGTCCTGGCTCGCCACCAGCACCAGGAGCATCAGGCAGCTGCAGACGCGCCACCTGGGGGAGCCATGAACTCTATGCCTACACGCGTCTGCGACTCTCGTGGCCTCTGGGCGAGATCATGAAAAGGTTATATATTGCATATGATTGCAGTTAGGGTTTAGGGTTTAGGGGGCCCCTAAACCATAAACCCTAAATCCTAAGACCTCAAGTTGAGGGTCACCATGCGCAGGGCCTTCCACGAAATCCAGCCCTGCCTGCTCTTCGAAGCTGGCCTCGGTACCGACACTCTGGGGAGTACCTGCTCAACAGCATGGAATCGCCAGTAGTACCAGTTATAGTAATAGTAATAGTATCAGCAACAGTAATAGTGACGTTACAGTATAGTAATAAGTAATAGTAATAGTTATAGTCATCGTCATCGTAATCGTTATCGCAATCGTGATGATTAATAGCAGTAGTGACAGTAACTGTAACAGCAATAGTACTACTGTCAGGATGCTGAAGCAGACAGCTTATGTCATTTTATACTACCTCCGTGGCCGTCGGGCCCGGGCCGATAAGGTCGATTTACGATGGTGAACCTGCGGCCCTAAAACCCTAAGCCCCTTACAGTACCCTTATAGATCCCTTATACTAGTCCTTAAAGGAACCCTTAAACCCCAGTAGTAGAGTAGGTCTTCTTTCTTAGCAGAACGTTTATGCCACCTCTGTGGCCTTGGCGGTCTGGCCGCTCTCCACCTATCGAAAAAAATCGGCGTAGTAATACTAAGAGTAACCAAGTGATGTTCGAGAAACTTTTCGCCACATAACTCACATATCTACAACCCGGCCTGGTTTTGCTGGCATCTCCTCCAGATCAGGTGAAGCTGGTGGCGCATGAAAATCAGAAGACATGCACATGCATTAAGTCGTAGCCTGCGATTCCCTACTTGATCTTTGCGCGATATCGTGGTCATATCCCGTGGTCAGTGGTGTGCCGCTTGTGACGCCTAGCAGTCGTACACTGACATTAGAAGACACTTGTGGCCGTGTTGCTCTTGTTGGGTCTGCTGATACAGGCGAGGCCATCACTGTTCATCATCGCTCGTCCACTTTTCTGAGTATCAAATCGTCCTGGTCCGACTGGAACGTTGTCTTGTTGTTTTTGTTTTCGTTGTTGTCTAAGTTGTGTTTCGTAGTAGTTGGTGGTTGTCAGTGCGGTGGTGTTGTGACAGTGGCTGCAACAGGCAGTCCTGACCCAACATCTCACGCTCCGAGATGTGCAAGTAGGCAGGAGAGGCCTCTGATTGGATGATCGTGGCCTCTGCCTGCCCACCGGTGCACACATGCGATTTGCACTAATCTCGGTACTCCTTCCTTACGGGCTTCTTTTCAATCTTCACTCTTGGACGTGATCACACGGGTGACCGTAGCGACCTCTCCGACAGTGAAGACAGTGATGAAGAGTTCGGCTAGTCTCGCTACTTGCGGTGACCGCAACGTTGATGATTCTCATGATGACGGTGCGACATCGCGGATGATACACAAGAAGAAGAAGATCATGATGACGGTGTTGGTGATGCTGCCACTGCGTGAGCTGCTGGCGCTGCTGTTCTTCTGGCTCTGCCTGCTAATTCGCATTGTGGTGCTGGTGATGACGGTGGTGGCAGCGGTGATTGTGGCGATGGCAGCGATGCCGGTACTGGCGGTCATGGCAGTGATGGAGGTGATCTTGCTGATGGTGGTGATGGTGGTGATGGTGCTAATAAGAGTGGATATCTGCTGGTATGTGCTGTTTCGTGCTAACGATGCTGCTGCTAAGGCTGCTGATGGTACTGATGGCACTGATAGCGCTGATGGTGCCGATGGTGCTGGGCAATAGCGGTGATGGTGGTCATGACGGTTATGACGCTGTCAAACAGGATTGGACCCACGTAAAACAAACGTGGTCCTGCTTTCGACTTTTAAATATTGATCTCAAAGCGTAACACCGGAAGCAGCCCTCGACTATGGTATCGTTAACTCTGATGCTGTTGGCAAAACTTTCAAAGCTATATGGGAGTTGCCGAAAACAAGGGACCCTGATACGGTGCCCTAAACAGTAGGATCCTTAGTATAAGGACCCCAAAAATAAGGTACCCCCTAATTTTCGGAAACTCCCCTATTAGCCCATACAAGGAGTCAGAAGTTGCAGGGCCTGGCTGGCCCCGATGAGGTCCTGGGTCGAGAGCCGTTCCAGGCCGACAGGCGACGCTTCGGAGACCAACGTCCCTTCCACCTCCAAGGCAAACATACAAAAAAAAAAAAGCAGGTCTGTGCATCACATGGAGGCCACTCAAGCCGAAGCTTCACTCGCAACAGACATCTTAACAACGCCCTTAACTCACCTGTTCTCAAGCAAGCGACTGCTGATGCCACGACTTTGCCGATTGGCTACTTGAGGGTAAGATGGATTCTCATGGGCATGGACTGAGATGCATGTGCAGAGGAAGATTCCTAATTAGCTGCCTTCTTTACTAGCAGTGTTGCAGCTGCATGCTCGGTCAGGACAAGCTGCCTGGCTCCCTCCCAGCATGTCTTGGGTGGTCAGGCGCACAAGGTGCTGTGTCATCGGTGACATCTCCGAGACGATCGACTGCTCCTGCAAAGACCAGTCTCTCCGTTGAGAGCCACGGTTTAGGGTTTAGGGTTTAGGGACTACGAATATGATTGCGTGTGCTATAATTGCTCTGGTCCTACACTCCTGATACTTGCTGCCATTGTCGGCATCAGTCATGTCGGACATAAGGCACGCAGCAAAGAAACGTCCATTAGGATCACAACCTTTGCCTGTGCTGCTGCTGATGTAACTAGTACAATTATTGGTACCACCTCCGGTGAAGTGAGCAAGAAGACTACCATTGAATGGCAGTTTCTGTAATTGTGGCCGCTACACTCCGATCGCCTTGATTTTATTCTGTACCGACTGGTTCGTCTTTTTTTGCAAGCCGGAGGATCGATACATCGGATGGAGCCTCCTCATCCTGCATCTCTTTCAAATGCCGCGGAGGCAACTCCGGAACAGCTTCCTGGCGGGGCTGGGAAACAATCGTCAGCATCAGTTCATATCATCAACCACCATGCTCGATCATCATTATCACCAGCACCATCACCATCATGCAACTTACCATCATGATGCCCTCCATCATCATCTCCTCTGCTGCCATAACCGCCGCCTCCAAACCACCTTCTTCGACCGCAGCAACGGAAGTCCGAGCTAGCATGCCGCGGCAAGGACCATCATCATCATAATCTGCATCATGCTCGTCATTCTTCCAGCATTATCATCACCCTGTGTCGGCAACAGCCATGACCATCACCATCACCGTCATCAATATCATCATCATCATCAGCATCGTCGTCGGTGTCGTCACATTCACATTCAAACTCAGCATCAGTCTCTACACAGGCATCTTCATCGGCGGCCTCAGCGGCAGCATTGCCATCGCCGCATCATCACCATCATCATCACCAGCACAATCACCATCACCATTTTATTACAAGATATTACAAGTACCATCCTCAATGCAGGCATCAACGGCATCATCATCATCGCAACCAACGGCACCGGCATCATCTCCTGCATCATGAGGCATCTTTGTCACCTGCCTCATCGTCATCATAGCCATCAACGTCATCATCATCATCATCATCATTCACCCTGATCGTCGTCACTGTCATCATCAAGATGAAGACCCACAGATGCGCGAATTGAATCCGTAAGGGCAAGCTGATGGGCTCACATCAACATCGACATTTCTGCGGCTTCAGATCTCCATGACAAGAAACAACGGTCTGACCTTTCCGTAGACGGCATCATCATCATCCGTAGGCTTTGGCACGGAGGGAGGCAGTGGAGGCGGAGGCTCTTCGGCTATGGCCAGCTGCTCCTGATGCAAGCAACGAGCGCATGTCGCCCTACAAGCAGCGAAAGCTTGCTGTGTACGCCCTCAGTCAACATCGACAACTGGAGGAGGCAGAGATTCACATCAGGAACTTCGAGTGCACCCGAGATGACAAGATGGCCTCCGCATGAGTAGCCAAAGCACCTCCAACAGCTCGCACTGCGTCCTCCACAAACGAAGCGAAGTTTGGCAGAGCATGCAGATTCACAGATTCACCTCATGCTCACTCCCTGCTGCAGACACGGCCTCGATGGAAGCCTCGCCCGTGGCCTCGATTTCAGTCATACACAATCGACAGACGAGGCGAGTTCAGGTGGGTCAGAGAAGGAGTTGATTCCTAAACACCACCAACTCAGCTGCCTCAGCATGTTGTGCCAGCGCGGCACTTACTGCCTGACACCAGAATACACCAGCGCAATCTCGGTGACAACGACACATCAAGCTCCGCACCTTCATGTCCTCTTCTGCTTGGTTGGCCTTTGACAGATGCCACCGTCGGAAGGACGAAAAGGCCTTAAGACCAAGAAACCAAGCCTCAGCATGTTTCATCAGGGCATCTCCCACAGCCCGGGTGTCTTCCTGTCGCCGAAGCACCAGCACTAAACCCGAATGCAAACTGCACACTGACATGAACGCAAGCATGTGTCTGCGAACAAGCCCACGCACCACTGGGTGAAGGCAACACCTCTCCTCAACTTCGGCAGCGTGCTTTTCCTGGTCGGCGTGGGCACGACAACATAGCATGCATTCTTCAAGAGAGGGCAAAACGGCCTCCATATGAGTAGCCAGCACTCCTCCAACAGCTCGCACCGCTTCCTCCAGACGACGCGTCGGGGTCATTACAATGCAAACACCACATGTGGCCCACATGTGGCTCGCTCTGGGTACGGCCTGGATGACAGCTTCTCCTGTTTCCTGCAAAGAACGTTCGGGAGACAAGTAGATGCTGATCAACACCACCACCTAAGCTGCCTCGGCATGTTGTGCCAGCGCGGCACGTACTGCCTGACACCAGGCAAGTGCGTTGATTGGGAGACAGCACGACAAAGAGATCGAGCTCTGGACCTTCATGTCCTCTTCTGCCTTGTTGGCCTTTGAGAGATGCCATCGCCGCCAAAGATCGCAATCGTTCGCAATTTGGACTAGCAAGGTCGTCTCTGAGTCCAACAAGCCAGGCCTCCACATGTTTCACCAAAGCATCTCCAACGATCCGGATGTCTTCCTGCTTGAGGTCAAAGGCCGGAAGTACAAACTGTACACCACCATGAACAGCGTGACTTGAGTTTCCGTATCTGTGGCCGGAAGGCTCCGTCAAATGAGTCGGACCTACACAAGATAAAACCTCCGAAACCAAGAATTACACGATTAGGCGCAGCATGTCCGCAAGCTCTGCTAGGGAGTCGAAGGGAGGGACAAAGTCATGTGTGCAACTGGCAATGCACCCTCAACCACAAACTCAACACCCCCAAACCCTCAACCCTGAACTCCCAAGCCCGCACTGGTTGCTCGTTGCTCCGAGTCGCTTGCAGACTGCACCGGTCACTTTACGGCTGATTGACATCATGGCGGTGGTGATAGTGTTGACTTAGCTGATGTTGACGCCGCTGCTCATTTTGTCATTTGTAAGATCATTGTGAAAGACGACACCACACCATCATCTTATTCTTCGTCGTCGTCATCACCACCATCATTGTGGTCACCACTGCCAACGTCGATCAATATCAGCATCTGCATCAACGTCAACTTGATAACCATCAACAGCATCAGAACCACTGATCCCATGCTGAATCCTCAACATCACTGTTGGAAACAAGCCCGTACAACATGTGACAGCAAGCGCCTGCCTCAACTTCTGCAGCATGCTTTTCCTGGTCGGTGTGTCCACGACAGCATGGCACGCAGTTTTCATGACAGCCGGCACAACGGCCTCCGCATGAGTAGCCAATGCCCCTCCAACAGCTCGCACCGCTTCCTCCAGCAGAGGCTTGGCGTCAGTACAACAGAACCACCATTCAGTGGCTCGGTCTGGGTACGGCCTGGAGGGCAGCTTCTCCCGTGTCCTGCAAAGAATATGTTTGATTGGGAGACAAGTTGATGCTGATCAATACACTGATCAACACCATCACTTAAGCTGCCTCGGCATGTTGTGCCAGCGCAGCACGTACTGCCTAACACCAGACAAGTGCATCATTGGGAGACGGTACGACAAAGTCATCAAGCTCTGCACCTTCATGTCCTCTTCTGCCTTGTTGGCCTCGCTGATGCCACCACGCCGCAACGATTGCTTGAAACAGTTTCCAACAGACTAACAAAGTCGCTCTGAGTCCAACAGACCACGCCTCTGCATGTCTCGCTAGGGCATTGCCCATGATTCGAATGTCTTCCTGGTGCATGTCAAAAGCAGAATAATAACCACGGTATGCATCTAAATTCTAGATATGATCGGATAGCCTCCACCGCGCAACACCCTCCATTATGAACTCACCACTGCTGCTGACGGCAAGCACCTTGCCTCAACTTCGGCAGCATGCTTTTCCTTGTCGGTGTGTCCACCGCAGCATAACATGCAGTCTTCATGACAGCAGGCACAACGGCCTCCGCGTGAGTAGTCAATGCCCCTCCAACAGCTCGCACCGCTTCCTCCAGCAGAGGCTTGGCGTCAGTACAACAGAGCCACCATCCAGCGGCTCGGTCTGGGTACGGCCTGGAGGGCAGCTTCTCCTGTGTCCTGCAAACAACATGCTGGGAGGACAGATGGATGCTGGTCAACACCACCACTTAAGCTGCCTCGGCATGTTGTGCCAGCGCAGCACGTACTGCCTAACAACAGACACGTGCATCATTGGGAGACAGTACGACAAAGTCACCAAGCTCTGCACCTTCATGTCCTCTTCTGCCTTGTTGGCCTCGCAGATGCCACCACGCGGCAAAGATCGTACTGATTCAAACGGACCAACAGAACAAAGCTCTGAGTCCAACAGACCGCGCCTCTGCATGTCTCGCTAGAGCATCGCCCAAGATCCGAATGTCCTCCTGGTGCATGCGAAAAACAGAAACAGTGACCACGATACCGCGCAACACCCTCCATTATGAACTCACCACTGCTGCTGACGGCAAGCACCTTGCCTCAACTTCGGCAGCATGCTTTTCCTGGTCGGTGTGTCCACGACAGCATGGCACGCAGTCTTCATGACAGCGGGCACAACGGCCTCCGCGTGAGTAGCCAATGCCCCTCCAACAGCTCGCACCGCTTCCTCCAGCAGAGGCTTGGCGTCATTTACAACAGAACCACCATCCAGCGGCTCGGTCTGGGTACGGCGGCCTGGAGGGCAGCTTCTCCCGTGTCCTGCAAAGAATATGTTTGATTGGGAGACAAGTTGATGCAAATCAATACACTGATCAACACCATCACTTAAGCTGCCTCGGCATGTTGTGCCAGCGCAGCACGTACTGCCTAACACCAGACAAGTGCATCATTGGGAGACGGTACGACAAAGTCATCAAGCTCTGCACCTTCATGTCCTCTTCTGCCTTGTTGGCCTCGCTGATGCCACCACGCCGCAAAGATTGCTTGAAACAGTTTCCAACAGACTAACAAAGTCGCTCTGAGTCCAACAGACCACGCCTCTGCATGTCTCGCTAGGGCATTGCCCAGGATCCGAATGTCCTCCTGGTACATGTCAACGGCTCTCACATGGTTCGTGTGCCGAAAACGTCGCACCTACCACCGTTTTCACTTCTTGAGAATCTCCACCATCCACAAACCACGTCGACATCAGTATTGAAAATGTCTGGGATAGAAGCGCCCACACCAAGAAAACGTTCGTGCTACCAGTCCATAATTTGGGACTGAGAGGGTCCTCGATGTGCCCAACACCTAGATGCCAGCGAACTTTCGGGCATTGGTTGGCGAGCTTCAGGTCGCAAACCCGTCCCAGTCCCAGATGCCAGAGACCGAGATCGCGGGAATCGTGCGCTTGCCAACTAAACTCAAAACCACATGTTGTTTACTGCTCATGATGTAGGGCACGCGGTTTAACACAATGCGACAATTCTGTCGAAGGCAGAATAAGAGTGAACATTATTGCCAAGTTAGCCTAACAGCAAACACCTTGCCTCAACTTCGGCAGCGTGCTTTTCCTGGTCGGTATGGGCACTACGGCATGGCGTGCATTTGTCAGGACGGGGGGATCCACGGCCTCCGCATGAGTAGCCAATGCCCCTCCAACAGCTCGCACCGCTTCCTCCAGCAGAGGCTTCGTGGTCGTTAGAACGGGACCGCCATAAGTGACTCGGTACGGCCTGCATGGCAGCTTCTTCTGCGGCCTGCGAATCGAAGGCATGTGGAATAGGCGGTATGGCACAGAGACGAACAATAACGCCTCTGCAAGCTGCACCAGTGCGCATGCTACGATCCAGCAGACCAACACCAAATTAGCAAAACTCTGCACCTTCGAGTCTGCCTCTGCTTTGGCCTAGCAGCTGCCATCATGTTTCTTCGGCTTAGTATGAAGCATAGATGTAGGCTCTTGCCGACTCCAAGCCTCAGCATGGTTCACCAACGCATCTCCCAAGATCCGGATGTCCTCCTTGTTGTCAGGACCACTTGACTGTCGTCGCATAGTTCGGATCCCGGAACACATGCGCCACTGCAGGTTCCCACAGATCGCCTCCACCTCAGCAGCGGATTTTACCTGGCACTGGAGTACGCTGACCCAACTTGCCAGACTTGCCACACGTCACGTGTAATGGGGCAGGTTCCCTACAAATGGCCTTCAGAGTCCGGATACTCATGCTAAACCATCTCAGGACTCAGCCCCCACCCAAAAAAAAATCTACACTCCTTCTACATGACCACGCATGGAGTCCAAGACCGCGTCACAGTACCCGCCTCGACAGCCTCTGCTTCTGGCTCTACCAAATCCTGCATGTGGGGCTTGCTTGCTTGCTCTTGCTTGGGCAAAGACTGGACCAAGGCCTTGGGAATTACAAAACGCTTCGCGGGTCGACCCACAGTCAGAACGATGGAGTCTGACCAGTTAAGCCTAGACTCTCCCACCGTGTGGGAGAGATGGACTTGGATGGATTCTGATAGGTGCCAGAAGAGCCACTCGCGAGTACTGCGCCGTGGTTTTTGGACGGATCGAAGCTTGATCTACGATGTCTGAACTCGGAACTCTCTCACGTCCCCAAACCCTTGAAGCCGAACAGAGCAACTGGGCCTCCTCAACAAACGGCGCCTGCTTTATGACCTGCTTTTCAGCTTCATGTGCTCTCGCTTTGACGAGGAGCAAAGGATCCGAGCCTCTTGAGCCGGCACTGAGGCTCGGGCCTTCAAAGGTGCCTGAAAAGCTCAGAGGCACCCGCCCGACGGAAGGCCACAGTCATCAAAATGCCCCCGGTGCCTGGGCCTCTGCCGCAGAGTCCAGCAGGTCCTGCAGAAAAGCTGGGGAGTCTCTACACACGCTGAGCTTTCCTCTGTCGATTCTTCGTGGCTTGCCTGGTGGAGTTGTCCATGACAGAACTGCAGAGTCAAGCTAATTATGCATGGAGCAAAAATATCCAAACTGTTCCATCACCCAAAGTTCTGGGCAGTCCTGAACGGAGCCAATCGCAGCCACATCAACCGCTGACGCCTGCCACGATCGGTGAACTCCCAAGCAGCAGCACAGCAGCTGCTCTCCAGGTGGGAATCCGCCTGTGACACCAGGAGGGATGCCTCCTGTGGGGTCTGGCCAGCATGGCACGCGGCATGCACGAGCTCCTCGCCAAGAGAAGGACTAGCCAGGACCGCAAGCGAGTCCGCACAGTTGCACACGTGCGGCATCGTTTGGCAGTCCGTGGCCAGATCCATTTCGGACGTGCCTGCGGACGTGTGGCCTGCTATCAACGGCAGCTGAGTCAGCTAAGTAAAGCTATGCAAGCACCAGCCAGACAACATTGAGATGTTCGCTAAAGTTTGCCAGGTCACCCGTGCTGTGTGGTGGAGCATCCAATTTGTCCTGTATTGCGCCAACGCTCTGACCGACGAAGCATGGAGGAGAATTCGGCCGGTTGACTCACCAAAGTCCTCTAAGGAGCGTGTCATGGCGGCCGCACCAGCATCGCCTGTGGCCTGCAATGACCCAAGGCCCACTGTGAGCCTTACTTCCAGCTGACTGCAACGTAGCTCTAGTCAGGTTTCAGGAAGATCTTGCAAAACTCAAACGAAAAAGGCAGCGCAGCACAGCCGTGCATCGAATGTGCCTGCGACACTACCACGGAGGCTTCATGCAGAGCTTCACCAGCTTGACATGCAGAGCGTACGAGCTCCTGGTCAAAGCAAGCGCATTGCCGATTCGTTCTGATGACACCCATCCTCGTAGATTCTGCGTAGGGTACGAAAGTAGTGCTGCGAAATCCGTCGAATCCCGCGCTTCTTTCGAAGAGAACCCCTCACCGCTGCAAAACACTGCCTACACTGTTGTTACACTGCCCATGTTGTCGAAACGGAAGGCTTCCGCATGCATGTCAAAAACAGTGGCGAAACCTTACAAGTCTTTGCACACCCCATCCGGATCGCCCCTACACGACACCGGCGCTTCCTCTGCCATCTCAGGTTTGGGAGCCTGCAAAGCGAGCTTCGGTTCAGACTTCGTCAAAGCCAGTGAAGGAGCCACAGAGGAGGCCTCTTCCTCGACGACCTCGGGCTGCAGGGCCTGGGAAGGAGCGGAAGGCGGCGTAGACACTGCTCGTTGCTTTCGAAGTTGCAGTTCGTTTTGACACCTTCCTCTGTTGAGGCTCAAAGAGATTTGTGTCAAGATGCAGCGTGGTGCATGAACAACTCTGCGTGACTTTCAGCTCTTACAACTCCCATCCTCGGCAATGTCCCAAGCTTGGAATTGTGATGGACTTGGTAGCTGCCATTTCAGCAGTCGCAAACATCCTGGGAAGCGAGTGCCCGAGGCATCCAAGTGGCTTCTTCCTCCGCCTCCGGCTGAGGCTTCTTGGGAACCTGAAAAACTGATACTGCCAGAGGATGCACAGCGAGTGCTGGCTTCAAGCCTTCCGGGTCGATTCGACAAGCTCCGGCTCCGCGAAGTCCTGACAGCATTGCAAGTGCTTGAAATGTGGAGATGTTTCAGGTTGTCTTCGGATCTCTAAGGCCTTCATGCGGGGCTTGCCACGCAGATCAAACCCTTCTGTTGACTCTTCCGACGTACAGTAGCCATTCGAGCTTGCCAACAACGTCCTGTGATCCACTTCGAAAGCCTCCACCCCCATACCCCCCAGAACTTGATGGAACCCATGACGACTCGAGGTGGACCTCCTCCGGCGGCTCTGCATGCTTGGGCTCGGGGGCCTCGACAAGCACTTCGGAACGGATGCTACCCCTCAGAGAGCTTCGACGACCTCAAACCGAGATGCTTCGAAACTGAGATTCTCTAGCTTCTGGATGACAGGGTCGACTCAGCAAAGCAAAACATCAAGCAGGATCCTCAGATTCAAACAGCCTGGAGATGCCGCGACTCCTGAGGCCAAGCCCAAATGACAATGAACTGAAAATCAAAACTCCGCTCATCCCACGCCCTTCGTGCATCACATCCCCAAAGCCCTAAGGTTGCGCTCCCGAGCAGATGACATGACCGGATCAAGTAGCTCTGTTACTTCGGGGTGCAATTCCTCTTGCACCGTGTCTTGTTTCAAGCAACATCCTGCGACTGTTACGACGTGAACCCAGCTGTGCAAAGCTGTCCTGGGCGGCAGGAGTGACAGTGAAGTGGAACTGCGCCTGCGCTTGAACTCTTCTTCGAGGAATACAAGCGAATCCGAATGCCACGCCCCGCAGTCACCCCGACTCTTCTCGGCCCTTTTTTCGTGCCTCTGGCCATTCCAGAGGCCGACGCTGCAAGTCCCGAAGGAACCTAGCAATGATCAAGCTTGTTGCGCTGCTCCAAGCGTGCACCCCAGGAGCCCCAAAAGGCAGCAACCCGCTTTTCTTGCGCATCGTTTCTCCCAGTCCGCACAGTGCAGAACCGCACAGGTTGAAGATGCCCGCTGCAAGCCGGCACAGTCTGACCAAAGCGGAAACTTGCCTCCACCCTGCAAGGCTCGTGAAGCGTGCAGCCAAAAGCTTCTCGCTTCCGTCGTGCCACCTTCCATGCCACCAACTGATCCACTATCCTGCGCGTACGCTTTGTAAGATACCTCTGAGGCTACCAGGCGCGACACTGTAAGCCCCTGTCCGGGCGAGGCGAGAGAGAGTTGCAATGCACACGTGTGGCCGGTGAGCTGCTTTCGCTTGCACTCTTTCTTACCATGACTCGTGAGCCTCCGAGCAAGAACGGAAGCTTCTACAAACCGACCCATTTAGAAAGAATAGAAATTAGAAAGATTGCGCCACGCTGAGCAAGGCCACTTCGCAGACTTGCTGCATCTGACATTTGTGAGCTGCAAAGTGGACTCGCATTGGTAGCCTACTCACTGGACCGTTCAAGCCCATCTCTGCAAACCTTTTGCCTGCTGTACTCTGGCTGCTCATGGTGCCGCAACGTTTTCCGATGTCTCACCATTGCCCAAGTCCTGACACAAAGAACCAGGTCTCAACACCTGCCGGCTAAGGAATCTGCAAGCCCCGGAACACTCGGCATGATGAATTCCATCCCTTTGTACTCTATACACATGGATACTGAAACCTAAGTTGGCCAAGACTCGCAGGCAGCTCGCCAAAAATTCAAATGTCTTCCTTGGAGGCCTCGGAATCCCACCAGCTAGTGTTCCTGTGAGGATTACACAGAACCTTATGAGAGTAGCAGAAGTAATAGTAGCAGCAGCAGTAGTCGTCGTCGAAGTAGTAGCAGCAGCAGCAGCCACAGCAGTAGTAAATAGTAGTGGTGGTAGTAGGAGGAGGAAACCCTGGAGCGGGAGGAGGGAGAGGAGGAGGTAACCCTATGACACCGTTGGGGGGTGTGCGGTTTAGGGTTTTGTGTGCTTAGGGTAGGTCAGAGTTTAGGATGATTCTGCAGCCCGGGCGAAACAGCAAAGCCTCCACCCGATACCTGCGACTAGAGCGTCTCCGAACTCCTAAACACTCCGTGAAGCCTATCAGGTGTGGGCGAGGCAAGATGACTGCTGCAAAGCCGCGAGCATCAAGTGAAGATTGAAGACGACGTTCGGAAGCACTACCACAACAGCCACCTGCTTGAGATATCAGGGTTGTAGGGCAGCTTCTTGCAGGGGTGGGTAGCAATAAACACAAGAGAAGTTCAAGTACCCTTCTCATCCCCCACCCGCCACCCTTTTCGCCGCCGCCTCCACACTCGTTCCCCCCTGCCTGCTGCTTGCGCTCTTACATGCAGTTCCTGGTTTTCGGCTTCTTTGTCTCACCGCCTGCACCCCCACACCACAGGGTGGTGCTTGTGGTGCAAATGCTACACGTTGTGTTTGTTCTAGCATGCAGTGTGTGCTGCAGAGGCATGGTTGCAGCTGCTTGCTAGTAGTTAGTCATCCATATTGCGATTGTTACTGCACTAGAGGAAGTAGTGTTCCCCTTTTCAGCTTGCTGAGGGTGCTCCTGTCTCCTGTCCCTATGGTATTGACACCCGTCGCCTCGTCGCCCCCGTAACTTAGGTGGTGGGGTTCTGTCACTGTTCCGTGCAAACCATGTCCAAAACCTGCCGGCACAACAACACAACAGATATGGCAGATCGCGACTGCGTGCCAGCTAGTGTGCAGTGTTCAAGATGCGAAGCTGCCGTGACGAAGACTTGCAAGGGTCATGATCAACATGACATCTGCAGGTCCAATCACAGCCACTGTTGGCAGTTCTACATCGTGGTGAACCCTAAACCCTAAACTCTGAACCCTTAGCTGTCACGATGATCGCGCACAACGGGCAGGGGCCCGAGCCCCGGCAACACTTAGTTCATGTATGTGTATGTTCGGATACATATCTACATACGCATACCTAATACTTATACATATAATATATATATATATATATATATATATATATACATGTATATATATATATATATGTAGATATAGGTACATATGTATATACAAATATGTGTATGTATATATATATATATATATATATATACACACATGCATGCATGCATGCATGCATACATACATACATACATATGCATATGCATATGAACATATGAGTGCCGAAACAAGTATTCCATACAGTCTATCAGCCCGGTTTGATGCTGAAAGGTTCTAGCTTCCCGTGGGGTCGCTTCTTCGGATCCTACAAACCCCTGGAGTTTGGGGCCGGGCTTGTTTGGAAAGCCCGTGTAGAAATTGTTTAGGACCTCTGACTCTATCGAAAGCTTGCAAACCTAATATATGGGCCTAAATAATTACTGATACTATTTTTTGGGGGGAGGGGGAGTCCTTACTGTAAGCATAGTATGATATACCCAAGAACCCTATGAATCCTACAAAATCTTATCTCTGCACCCTCGAGGGATGCTAAACTCACTCCTTCTTGAGCCGAGCTGCAATGGAGGCCACCCACAGCAACACCATGGGCTTGGCCCAGCAAACGAAAAGGAGCAGGAGCAGCAGGGCAATGACCTCGTATGGAGACTGCGATTTGCGCAGCTTTGCAGTTCCAGCTCTTCGAGGCCGTCGTCTGCAACTTCTTGAAGCAACAACGAATTCTCTGCTGATATGGTAGCTACCTCCAAGAAAAATCTGCAGACGCGAGGCCGGCGTGGCGCGGACTTCACGGAAGAGCTCAGCCTTTTCATCATCATGCTCCTGAACATGGACGTTTGAGATGACAAGTGGATCCTGCAAAGTCCGCCAGATGCAGTCTTGCATGAACACGGTAGCCTCGCGTTCGAGCCTCAGTCGTTCTGCCGGCGACACCTGACAACAGTTCACACAACGACAACGACAACAAGGACGATGGAATTTGGCCAGTTGATTGCGATGCTCACACGACTCCCTTCTGATAACCCTGCCCCAGTCTGCGGGTCTTCCGACTGACATGCCACGGAGGAAGAAGTCTGGCCTCAACCTCGCGCTCTTCGTTGGAGCTGTCGGAGCTGAAGCGCGGGAACCTTCCACCAAGACTGCTGCTAAGAACTGAGCACAATACTGGTCAGAAACTGTCAACACACGTAGCGTTGCCCAAGCATCCACACGTCCCAACGGCAGGAAACCCTCTGGCGACCACACCGAACAGGAATCGCAAGTGATGCTATGCGTGAGCTCCAGGCTGTGGTGACAGGCACTCGGGGCGTGTAGACAGTAAGAGAATATGGGAACTTGGACGAACCAAGCACTTGTGAGGATGGTTGCAAGTTTTTGGGTTAGTATGAGTATTTCTGCATGCAGGTGGCTCACAGAGGTAGGTACTACTGAGTTACTACGCTTACTACTGCACATCGCGCCTCTCCGCTGCGGCCTCCGTGCTGGCGGAGCTTTCGCAGCGCTCGAACTGGTGCTTCGCCGCCTGCCACTCTCAGCGACGTCGCAAGCGCAGCGTCTCGTCGGTCCAAGGGCTGGAGAACCCTGCACTCTGCACCTCCACATCTGCGGAGAAGCGGCTGTTAGTTGGCTGCTGCCTGGCACAGAGCTTGTCAAAGATGCTACGAGGGGGCCGGTCACTGTACCCGGTAGATGAGACAGGGTGCTCCAGGATTTCGGTGGAGGGAACCATGGTCTTCCTCACCACGACATCACACGAGCTGTGCAAAATCATTCGACATCGCCTGGAAGCCTCAAACATCCACAAACTGCTGCAGGCGCGTCACTAGAAGAGCTGAGGCGCTGACAAATGACACCGATACTCCGGAAGACAGCAAACCCGGGGGGTCTCAAACCAATATGTTCGAGCCGGAACTGCGGCCATCGATGGGGGCATCTCGGCCTTGCCTGGCTTTGGATTCGCCGAGGCTACGCTCATCCACGACGCGATGTTGGCTGTGAACGGATCCTGTCTGAGACTCAAGCCCGACGAGCCTTTCGTGATCACGCCTCAGTCTCTGCAGAAGTCAAGATTCCCAAACTCCACGCACGGAACCTGAGACCCAGTTGCATCTTCATGCGCTGCAAACTCCCTTTTCGGAGGCCCGTGCGTGTCAGGGAGCAGGTCTCCCGTCACCTGCGTAGTGATCCGCTCCTGGACGTGGCGCGCTCGAAGCCCTTCTGAGCCCGCCGGCCCCAACCCTTGTCAGACTGCTGTGAATGAGGCTGCTGCTCAATTCCAGATAGCATGCAGGCCCGCTCGAGAGTGCTGTGGACCCCGTCCAAGTTTGAGAGGGTGCTGAACCAATGCCTTCAAGCAGAAATACTGCTTCGAGCCTGAAACCACTACACCGCAGCCCCCCCTTCCCGTTTTGATCCGAAAGCCTCCTGGCTCCCACAAGTATCGCTTTACGAGATCCTCCCAGCTTGAAGCTGTTCGCACGGATGCCGCCCCCGAAGGTGCCAAGTCGGTGGCCTGTGGCATTCGAGCTCTACGGTGTCATCTTCTTCTTGTTTTGCGTTTTGGGGGTCTATGGTGCTTTCCGGCTTTCCGCTTGGAGACTTGGAGGATTCTTCCGTCACCTTGGGATTGGGCCTAAAACTCAAGCCCGAGGCCCTCTCAGTATATGCGCTTGAAAAAGCCTTCGGCAGCCCTTCGATCAGACCCTAGCAGTCCGTGCCCCAAGGGGCGTCCGGTCCTCTTCCAGCAAGTCAGCCGCAGCAGCCGCACCCAACCGTGCAGCCTCCTCAGAGCCCACAGAGGCAATGCCTGGGGCAGAGGAAGACTCTGGCAAATTCAGGAAAAGCGTATGTCAGTTAGCTCCGACTGTCTGGAAAGATCTCTGAGGAAGTCTTCTGGGCTCAAAGCTTTCAGGAAGCCCGAAGCCAGAAGGCCTCCGCACGGCGTGCACACACTGGGGCGGCAGTTCTTGCAACGCTCCTTCAGACCCCGAAAATGTTCGAGCGTTTTTGCAGCTGCGGCATTTTGATAATCATCTTTCACTCTGCATCTCTTACCACCAGAGCCTATTAATTGAGTGCAACGGGGGCTTGCGTGTCGGATCTCTTTTGCAGGCCTCCTGCCAGGTTCCAGCTCGAGTGAAGGGCGCAGCACTTCCTCGTAAGCGGCTCGCACAGCGGCCTGGCATCGCAAAGACGACACGGCTCGGCTGCAGCAGACAGGTTCCGCTGCAGTGCCGGCGGTTCTCGCCTCTGCCGCCTCAGAGCAGGTCGCCGAGGCAATGACGCTGATAACACCAGGCTCGAGACCTGCAGAGCAGCTCCACAAGGACTCGACTCCACCAACACCTCTTCTCCACACATTCCATTCCCAAAGCGCCTGGAGAGGCTGGTCGATCTCGCTGCGTTGTACGAGTATCCTTCCCAGGGACGGAGCTGAATCGGAGGGAGTCTGCGCTGCTCGACCTTCGGAAACACCCTCTTTGTATGACCAGCTACGAGTATAAGCCCACTGCCCCCATTGAGAAAGATGGCATCGGTTGTCACGGGTTGTGGGACGTTGCATTGCCCTACCTGCCTATCATTCGCCTACTCGCCCACCTACCCACCCAGCCACCCACCTACCTGCCTGGGCCTGCTTCCTTCCTACGTACCCCTTCCTGTCTTCCTGACTGACTGAATGACTGGATTAACTTATGACGAACTGACCCATGCCTATCGCGTGATGATGGTTCTAAGAGTTGGTGGTGGCGGTGGTGGTGGCGGCAGCAACAGGTGCACGAGCAGGAGTAGGGAGCAGGGCCAGCAGCAGCAGCAGCAGCAGCAGCTCTCGGTGGTACAGAACCAACAGCTAGAGGTTGGTTCAACCTCATGCTCAGCTCCCTGCTGACTCTTTCCATTCAACCCCCTACAAGCACGTGGAAACGAGGCCTCTAACCCAAAGGAATGTAACTTCGGAAACGGTACTGGCGGCAGCCTCCGAGGCCGGACCGGTCATGCTCGCTGGCATGGCAGCCTGCAGAAGAACACCGGGTGCACACCACCATCGCTGGTTGCCTTACCACCTCACGCTTTGCCTCCAGAACCTCAGCCACCACCTGTGCGTCTGCGGCCTGCACAAACGTAAAGTGTGAGTTGACTGCATGGGCAGCTACAGAACAAAGCATACAAGCATCGCAGTGCGCAAGTCATCTGCGGGTCCTCGCCCAGTGAAGACAATGGGAAGCTTCCTGTGCCTGCAGACGGGCATTCGAGAGATTGCTTTCTGCAAGCACACTCGAAAGCATCCGGCCTGCACTAGGTGGTCGAACTTGAACCCGTTCCTGCATCGTCACAGTACTTGCTCGACTCTCCAATCGGTGGCACTTGAGATGTGTAGGTCTGGCTGCAGCTGCATCTGCCCGATGGCTACGATCACGTCCTGCACTGACTGAATCACGGCCGCCACATCAGCATCTGCCGCCGTCTCAACGATGATGGTGGCCTGGACAACGGGCGACCATCTTTCTCCGCGGTCAAACATTCAGCTTCACGAAATTTCCGGCACAGGGTCGTGCAACCTCTGGTGCTCAAAACCCTAGTTCTGTAAGCTTCCCAAGAAAGCCAACGGCTAGAGGTTGGTTCAACCTCATGCTCAGCTCCCTGCTGACTCTTTCCATTCAACCCCCTACAAGCACGTGGAAACGAGGCCTCTAACCCAAAGGAATGTAACTTCGGAAACGGTACTGGCGGCAGCCTCCGAGGCCGGACCGGTCATGCTCGCTGGCATGGCAGCCTGCAGAAGAACACCGGTGCACACCACCATCGCTGGTTGCCTTACCACCTCACACTTTGCCTCCAGAACCTCAGCCACCACCTGTGCGTCTGCGGCCTGCACAAACGTAAAGTGTGAGTTGACTGCATGGGCAGCTACAGAACAAAGCATACAAGCATCGCAGTGCGCAAGTCATCTGCGGGTCCTCGCCCAGTGAAGACAATGGGAAGCTTCCTGTGCCTGCAGACAGGCATTCGAGAGATTGCTTTCTGCAAGCACACTCGAAAGCATGCGGCCTGCACTAGGCGGTCGAACTTGAACCCGCTCCTGCAACGTCACCTGCAACGTCACAGTCTTGCTCGACACTCCAATCGGCGCGCTTGAGATGTAGGTCCGGCTGCAGCTGCATCTGTCTGCTAGCTACCCTGCTCTCAGCCTTTGGATAGTGTTACCAAAGGATGACGAAAAGAGGCATAGTCGTGAGAAATTGCAGCCTCTGAGGCTGGACCAGTGGTGCTCGGGAGTGGCATGGCAGCCTGCAGGACGCCAGGACCATCTTCAATCGTCCAAAGTTTAGGGGTTTAGGGTTTAGAGCATTAGGGCTTAGGAAAAAGAGCATCGGCAGGTCCTCAACGAGTGAAGATGCCGGGAAGCTCCTCGTGCCTGCAAAGGGGCATTCGAGAGAGACGCTTCCTGCAAGTGCGCTCGGAAGTGTCCCACCTGCGCTAAGTGGCCGAACCTGCAGCCCTTCCTGCATCATCAGGCTTTCAATAGTCATGCTACAATCGATGATGCATATGTGCGGGCGTACTTTCTGACTGCACCATCTGCATCTTCAGCTTTCTGTTTAGTAGCATAACGGCCTGGACTGATTGAAGCGCAGCTGTCGCATCATCGTCTACCGTGGCCTGCAACCACTGAACAGCAGATACATCTTCTTGCTTCGCTGATCTGTGCTCGAGTATCTGGCAACCAACATTGAATGCACGACAGAGAGTGGCTTAGTAGTATGGCTTAGTCTCGCAGCAATACAGCTCAGGCCAAATGCACCTGCGACATTGCCACAGATGATGGCTCTGGCGGAGTTTCTGCAGCAGTGCATGCGGCGTGCACGAGCTCCTTCTGGAATCGGATCTGGGACTCCGAAAGAGAAGCAGGGAGGTGTGCTGACGAAAACACTGCAGACTGCAGATGATGGTCGGCACGTCAAAGAACATGGACAGAGCTGTGCATGCCGCTTGACATGGGGCGGTCCGCAGCAAGATCCAGCTCTGCAGTCCCCACTGATGTGAGACCTGGTCACGGGCAGCGGCGCATGTGAGGACCACCATCGAAGGCAGCTTCGCCATTGAGCAAAGAGCTACAAATGGTATTCGGACAGTCCCTGAAGTCACTTTGCAGAATCCCGACCTGCGCTGGGCGGCCGCATCTTCAATCGCTCCTGTCTCACAGAGCTTTAGAAGGAACTGACAGCTGTGAGGAGTTTCCGAAAATTAGGGGTACCTTCTTTGGGGGTCCTTATAATAAGGATCCTACTACTTAGGGTACTATATTAGGGTCCCCTATTTTGATAACGGCCGCAGTCCTTCAAGGACTGAACCATCGCGGCTGCATCAACGTCTTGCTTGACCTGCAACGGCACAGGCTGCTTACTGGTTTTCAGTATGATCCGCCGATGAGTCAACAGCAAACGTTCAGACGGCACGGCATGTCCCCACTGTCGAGCAAAGGTAAGGCGGCTGCCAAAGCAAAGCTTACCGACAAGAAACGGGCGAGTAAAGGAAGCTTGGAACCAAGCTTTCTCAATCTCACCCACACTTCCTACATCTGCTATTATGACTCTGACATACTCTGACCAAACCAAACCCGGAACCCCCAAAAACCCAGAGGCACGGGAGCCTGCTTTGGAGCTTCGGGGGCCGCCTGTCGCACAAGATCCCACAAGCTTTCTGCACCAGGAGATGCGACTGCACCTGTACCGACTCACCTTCCAGTCTTCGACGCTACAGAATGCCCGTGACCAAAAAGCTGCAACGTCCGAACTCCTCCTACGTCTGCCCTATGCTGTTACGAGGCCTCAGCAGAAGGTGCGGCATCCGCTACCTGGCCACCCGCTTGTGCTCTCTCTCTGTCGCGTGACATCAAAACCGTGACCGAAACGCAGGACTCGCAGTGAGTGTAGATCGTGGTCAAGGGCATATGTCCTCCAGAAACCAAACGCTGAAGCCGTGGGTACCCGGTTTCAGGAAGCTCTTCAGAGTCTCAACCTAAGCTCCGCCTTGAAACGTGCCCCTGTAACTCAAACTATATTATAATTCATTAAACTTACATTACATTCTATTTCCGATTATATTTTGCTAATATGACTATACCATACCATGCTGATTATATTATGTCTCAGCGTGCATGCAAAGAGGGGCAAAAACTGACATGCGCCGATACGCCTATTATAGTATAACATTATTATTCTAATTAATATTATTATTATTGTTATTATTATTATAGTATAACATAATGGTGTCGCCTCGCCCAGCAGCTTTGCGGCGGCGGCCTGACCGACCCGCGCCGAATCCTCAGAGCCCACGGAGCCGATGCCTCGGCAAACGTCGTTGGCTTCACCACATTACATTATACTACTTTATTATAGTATAGATCTTTTATTATAACTATAACTAGTACTGTTATAACAACAAGTATAATAGTATAAGTCTCTCTGGTTCTTAGTAGGGAATGGGGGAGTGGATTATGGATACTACGATAAGCTATAAGGATCCATTCCCCCATTCCCTACTGACAGTCTTCTCCGAAGGTTCCATAAGTTCATTACAACTGGCATCGCCATCTGCATGTGACAGTATCTTAAACTACATTACATTACTTTACTTTATTATTGTCTACGATGATACCTGTAATTAGACTAGTATAACTATAATTGGTACAATTATAACTACAAGTGATATCATATAAAAAGAATGGTATCGCCTCGCCAAGCTCCGCCTACGTGCGAATCCAGGGCTACCCTGGGCTCCACGCTCTCCACGGCATCCAAGCGAGACGGCCTCCGCTTGGAGGATCGTGGGACTTACTTGGAGGGTCGGGGGACTTAGTAAGTAGGTAGTAAGTAGACTTATAAGTACCCCAAAAGGGACCCTAATCGGGGTTATGGTACTTATAAGTCCCTAAAACAACCAGTTACCAAGTCCCCCGACCCTCCAGGTGGTAAGGTTATAAGTAAGGCAACTATACTTATAACCCCAATTAAGGCACTGTAAGTAAGGCTACAAGTAAGGTGACTATACTTATAACCCAAGTAAGGTACCATTCGTAAGGTTATAAATAAGGTAACTATACCTATATCCCCAAGTGAGGTACTTCTGGTAAGGTAACGAATAAGGTAACTATACTTGTAACCCCAATTAAGGTACTTGTAAACTTACTAAACACGGCCAGACCCAAAGCGAAGCTTCCGGCGACGAGACATCAGGGGGTTTCCGAAAATCAGGAGTACCATATTTTGGGGTTCCCCCGAATAGTAGGATGCTCATTATAAGGACCCCAAGATATGGTACCCCTAATTTTCGGAAACTCCCATCTGAGATCCTCTGAGACTCGGATCTGCTGCGGCTTTCCTCAGCCCTCTACCACCTCTGAAGTTCAAGCGCCCCAATTCCTCCTTTCTGCACTTATGATCTTCATCCCGTCTCCGCGCACCCTGCTCATTCTGGCTTCTTCTATCGCAACAGGCTACACCTCGTACCTCTGACAAAGAATGTGGACCGAAAGCGCTTGAATGCCTCCTGTCGGCTTCGAGCTGGAGGCATGGAAGGACCTCTTCGTAAGCAGCTTGCATCACCGCCTGACGCCGAAGAAACTGTCGGTATCGTGAATCAGGTGGTCCAACTACGGAGGTCGTTGACATGGGTGCAAGCCTGCTACAAGTAACACGCTGACAGCTGCAGCGACTCAAGCCGTGGCTTGCTGAAAGGTCGGTGTTTGTCGCACTTCAAACTCAGATCGGCCCTGCCCCAATCCCCGCCTCTGCCGCTTCCGAACAGGCCGCAGATGCAAGGACGCTGGCAACACTGCGGTCGAAACCTGCATCGCACCCCACACCCAATGGAAAACCCTGAATTGCCTGCGAGCTTCGTACAGTATCTGTATTCTGCAGCTGCCCGCTACCCCTTCTGCCGCGCCTCCTGAAGTAGGTCGATCTTGCTCGGCGACATCCTCACAGCAGAGGTTATTTACTCGGCACTCGGCCGAGACGTGGGGCAAGGGTGGAGCTGTGCGCAGCGCCTGGTGCAGAGCTGCTTCCGCCTTCGCGCTGGGCTGCGAATCCGACTAAGCCGACTACAAAAAACTCTTGCCCCGTCCCAAGGTCATGCAACTGAAAGGATTGCCTTCAACTCGTGTTACATTGCTACCTGCTACTGCAATGGACAACAAATCTGGGTCACTTCGGCAAGCGCCCGTGTACGGCTTCCAGTAACAGCAAGGACGCAAGGAAAACTGTCACCCCTGGCAGCTGCAACACCCGCAGCATGTTTGCTTTCCGTACACACTGAACCCATCAAAGCCCCCGCCCAAACCTCCCTGCTTGACTAGCCTCGCGCAGAAGCTTTGCAGCGGCTGCCGCACCCAGCTTCGCCGCTTGCTCAGAGACCACGGAACCAATGCCTGGGCAAGCCGTGATAGAAACCTGCTCTGCCGAATTTCACAAGGCGTGTCGCTTCCAGCCCCCCAAAACTCACCACCAACACGACGGACTATGATTTGTTGTATGTGTGGGTTTGTGTGCTTTAAGCCGTTTTGCAGAAACAGATGCAGGTTGGTTGCTTTCATGTGTTGCGGACGAGCCGGGTTGAGAAGTTCGAGTTCAAATCAAACGGGTTGTAGCTGATCTATTTTGCAGTTGGCAGTTGTGTTTCAAAGCCATGTTGCGGTCGCCTATATATCTACATTGCCGTGTTCGGCTCACCACTTCGGTGCTCCCCCTAGCTGCCTCCATCAGGTGCTCTTGACCCTGGGGTCCTGATGGAGTACTTGTCGAAAGTCAAGAGCAAACTAGGGATCATCGCACCGAAGGCCCAGGGTAACCCTTAATTCCTACCTAAACCCTCTATATTGCCCCTCCAAAGGTTTTACGATAGTCCCAGAAACACCTGCACGAGCTGAACGCCACCGGGTGAAAGACCTGAGATGCGACCACGAATGCCAAACTGGTTATGCAACATATGCCCCTGCTCAAGTCCACTTCAAAGTCCAAGAAGCTGAAGAAAGCATCGTTGAAAAATCCGCCAATCCGCATCATCCACCTGAGGTTGGAGGTTTCAAGGTTAAAAGTAGCTGGAGGTTCTTCCTTAACCTACAAAGCAGAATAGTCACAAATTTCCACAGCCCGAGGAGCTGAGCACGGATCGTCGGAGTCTCGATGCACACCTGGAAGGGCTAGTTTTCCAGGCTTACAAGCTTGTGAAGGCCTCGGGCTTCGAGTTTTCCAGAAAAACAAGATGTGGAAGTTTCTGAGTTTCTCGCTGAGCATAATTCAAGCCGAATAATTCATCGGATCATCCATCTGCCATCTGACCTCATATTTGGGAGCAACAGTTGGGCTGCCGGGTTTAAGGTTTAGGGCTGAGGCATAAGGGTTGTATTAGGTCGGATTAAGGGTTGTATTAAGGCTTGGAGGGGCCAGGTTAAGGGTTGTATTAAGGTCGGGTTAAGAGTTGTATTAAGGCTTGGAGGGGCTAGGTTAAGCGTTGTTTTAAGGTCGGATTAGGTCGAGTGGCAAAAGGACGAACCCACGTAGGCATCATCCATTCACGAAGCCACGCCTGGGAGGGAGGCCATGTGCATGTGCATGAAGATGAATGGGTGTGCAGCTCAGCTACAACATGTCTATTGCGTGAAAGCCAAGAAGCTGAGTGCCGAGTAGTGCAGCGACCGAAGAATAATTCATCGGTTTATCCACACCACCTGAGCTGAGATGATGGTCACTCGGGCGCCGGTTCGAGGACTCAGGGTGAAGGGGGCTGACAAAGTAAATAGGATTCAGGGTAAGTTTAGGGTTTCACAATATTTTGCCGAAGAAACTGGGCACTGAAGAATGCATCGGCCGATCATGCAACGAAAACGCCAGTCTCACCTTAGATGGGGCTTCCGCTGGAGCTCGGACGCAACGTCTGAAACTCAGGCATGACACGATTTAAATTTTTAGAAGCAGCATCCAATGGCATCCAATGGCATCCAATGGCTCATGGCCGTGCCTTAAGACGGACTGGCGAGCAGCTCGGCTACAACCAGAACTTGTCTATCGTCCGGAATCCAAGAAGCCGGGCTGAGCATGAGGAGCAGTGCCTTAAGACGGACTGGCGAGCAGCTCGGCTAGCTACAACCAGAACTTGTCTATCGTCCGGAATCCAAGAAGCTGGGCTGAGCATGAGGAGCAGTGCAGCGACCACGGAATAATTCATCGGATATCCACCCCGCCACCCTCAGCTGAGATAGGCTGACGTGATGATCACTCGAAAGCGGGCTTAGACAGCACGGCTGAACGATGTGTTTTGCCGAAGAAACTGAGCACTGAAGAATGCATAGGCCCATCATGCCATGAAAAAGTGAGCTTCCCACCTGAGATGCCATGGTCAGGGTTCGTGCTGAGTTGTATGGTACGTGCTAACCGATGAAGCTGAAAACTTGAAAACTCAGGAATGACAATGACATGGTTTAGGTTTAAACTTTTCCAAGCAACATCTGATGACACCGGAAGGCGTCACTCCGCCTTGGCGGCGGCTTCCTGCGAAGTGGTTGGACTTAAACTCCGCATGCGAATGTCGACATGCGTGCACTGCCGTCATGTGACACAACGTTGCGCCCCCACCTCTTTCGGCTCTCCATTCGATCGTGCCGCCGTCTCATTCGCCGCCTTCGCCTTCTCCCAGCTTTTTTGCATGCTTTGCAATGTTTGGAGGGACTTTGTCAAGGACTCCGTTGCCGACCATCCCGGCAGGGCGATTAAGCGATCGATTCGAAGGCTGAGCTCCTCTGTCCCGCCGGGCAGCCACTTGAAGCTGGTGTAAGCACATGGAGCCTCCAAGGTCCTCTCCCACACAGCTGAAAGCGGCGGCACGTACAAGATATCCGACGGGGTCAATGTGCACCGGGTTGCCTTGCCCTCAAGCACCAGAACCTGAATCAGCTTGTCGTCGAGATCGTTGAGGGCCTTGCGAGAAATTGCACCAATGTCCTCGGAGATGCCCAGCTCCTGACAGTGAAGGAAGCTATCAATGCAACAGGGCCGCAGGATACTGGAGACATGCAGGCACTACCTATAGTGCTACAACAACACACGGACACTCACAGTCCTTGCAGATGACCGCCAATTTGCACAAAGGTATCGTGACCACATCAAGTTTGCCAAGAAAGACATGCCGAAAAGAACACGACTCGACGATCGACCAGAAGACCCTCTCTTTCAAAATGCCCACGAGGCCGGGCACGAAGAGCGCTGTATCCGGCTTGACGGGGTTGGTGCATTCAGCCCAACCGGCATACTCGTCCACCAAGAGACGGCCACTTTCTCCAATCTTCATGAAGGTACGGCCCGTGGAGATGCAGGCCTGGCTGGTCGAGAACTGCTCTTTGAACATGTCCAGCCTGCTGTCGAAAGCAGCATTCTTTGCATAGATTCCAGGCGCTTTCGCCGCTCGGATGACATGGGCCTCCTCGCAATCATCATGCGTAGAGAGGAAACCCTTGGCCGTCAAGACCGTGAGCTCCCTCGGCTTGTCGCTGATTTTCTCGAAGAAGGTGTCATACGCTGCGCCCACACCGGCAGGACCGGCAGGCCCTTGCCCTTGCTTCTTTTGCGCCGCCTCCGCTTCTTTTTTTGCTTTGGCTTCGTCCTTTTTGCGTTTATTCTGCTCGTCCTTCTCCTTCTTCTTCTCCCTTTTCGTGCATTCCCTGATCGCTTTCGTGGTTTCGGTCATTGCACTTTGCAGTGACTGGCCCAGCACAGACCAAGCCTGGATGCAGCCCTTGCAGTTCTCGATGTCTTTGC